ATGCTGGCCTGATTGGCGATCAACGCGGCCTTGTCCGGAGGAACCTCAAAACGGCCATGGGCCGTGTCCACAATTACCCCCAAATGCTTCTTGCGCATGGTGGGGGTCCATTGACACTTCCGCTCCTTGAATTGGAGGCCCAGCGAGGCAAACACACCCCGAACCAATTTCGACCATCGAGTCAAACGTGCGGCATCATGCATGGCCGCCAAAAAATCATCGAGATAAGCCAACAAAATGGCTGGCGGTTCCCTAGTATACACGTGAAAGTATATAGCTATTGAGTCATCCCCGGCTAGGCACCCAAAACGGAAATGGCGAGCAGCCTTGGGGCAACTGCCCGGGGACCTCAAGAAACGACCCACAACAAGCATCAAATGGGTGAAAAAGAAAGGAGCCAACGAAAGGCCAAAAGGGAGAGCTCGACAAGCGAAAACTTCATCTCCCATCCGAAATTGGAGGAAACATTCCTCCGATCGACACACGCGAAGATGATGATAAGCATCTTTGATGTCGAATCCCACCAATGAGTCATTTCGGCGAAGTAAGTGACCGAAGTCACGTAATTTCTCGTAACGAAGGCCCACCTTGCGAAGGTGACGGTTGACCCATCGCAGATCGATGCAAAGGCGGTACTTCATGACCCCATCTTCCCGCCCCTTCTCCACCAGGAAGGCCCGAGATATGCGCGAGTGGGGGCCCGGCTCCACTTTGGTGATCGCGCCCGAAGAGAGGTAGTCCACTCGAAGGGATTGCCAGGCCGCCCGTTCCGCCGAGGAGCGGAGCGGGTAGGAGCCCTCGTCGAAGGGAGCCGGCGGTCCACGCGGTCCCCACAGAAGCGGAGTCCCGGAATGGATCCATTGGAGGATGCGGGAGGGGGCGCCGATGCGACGCCACGCCGAAAGGCGTCCGCGGACCCGGTTGTACGGGAAAAGCTTCACGGAGCCGGCTTGGGAGAGGGGCCCGGAGGGCGAGATCCCTTGTGGGCCTTGGGGCCGGTCGAGGGGGCCGAGCTCGACGGGGGGGAGGTAGACTTCTTGGCGGCCGCGGTCTTGGTGGCGTGCTTCAATTCTTGCGTCAGAAGCTCCTTGCGCATGCGCTCGATGGTCCCGTCGACGCGAGCGGTGCCAAAGCGCAGACCGCGGTCGGCAAGGCGGATCTCCGCCTGAATGGCCCGCCACGATCCCTCCAGGCCCGAGCCCTTGTGCTTGGCGTGGATGCGCTGCAAGGAGAGCTGGTCGTGGAGAGCTTCGGTGACCTCCACGTACGAGTAAAGGTAGGGGAGGAGGAATTCCCATACGGACGCCGGGAGATCGGGATGGGCGGCCACCTCCACAAAGGCCGCGGTCGTGTCGAACAGCCAGGAGACCGGAGGAGCCCAGCCCGCGTACTCCTGGAAGTACCCGGAGTTGGCGCCCAAAGAGGCGGCGACCGCACTCCCCTCGGCGGTGTCGCGGACGTCGAACCAGTACGGCGAACGGGCGCCCACCGGTCGGGCGACCGGGTTGTTGATTCGATCAGAGAAGCGCCGGTCGGCAACCGAAGAAGCCGAGGCGAGCGCCCGGAATATCGTTAATATTGAACTCGGGCGAGTTTTGAAACCCCGCAACCATCGCCCCGACGGTTCATAGGCAAGAACTCGGCAAAGAGCCGGAGGTCGAGACCCACTCAGTGGGTCCGGGTTGTGCCAAAGAGTTGGCGCGAAGCGAAACAAGATAAGGTGGGGACCGAGGGGTGAGCCTAAGTAGCCTCCCCGCTCGCGCCCGCCAAAGCCCGCCGCTCCCAAGGGCGCCAAAAACCACTGGCCCTCCTTGAACGCGACGGACCAGCCACTGACCCAAGGTACAGGGGGACAGAAACCCCAAGGGGCCGCCAAAACCATTGTACTTTAAGCAGCGCTGACCCAAGTGGGCCAGCGCGCCCGCCCCTCGTCGCCCTGGGCGGAAACCACTTAACAAGATAGTTAATCCCATTTCTGGCGCGTGGCAGTGCCGGTTGCGCCGCGCCCCAAACGAGTTGTCCCCCCCCCCAGGCGGGGCCCTCCAGTCGCAGATCCGCGACGCTCACTTGGCGGCAGCACACCAGGAACACAGCGCACTACACCATGCGCGCTGCAAGGCAATCTCGAAGGGGCCACCGACTGACCGATCACCTGGATGAAAACCCCGGACGCCAACACCGCCCAAGCCCCCGATTCATGCTGATCGACCAATCGGTCCCCTACCCGATCACCCGACCAGAGACGCCCTTCCACACCCTCCCAGCGCTACCAGCCTTACCTCCCGGCGCCGCGGCCTCTACGTCCCAGTGTCACAGCTTCACAGTGTTACCGCGTTAAAGCATTTTCGCGTCACACCGTCACCGCGCTACACCGTTACAGCGTCAGCTGTGAGCGTCGGGCATTGTTCTCTTGCTTGCACCCCCTCCCGGCCCCGCACCCGGCGCGCCATGGACGCCGGCCGCGTCGCGCTGCTCCTGTGCCTGCTGCGCGCCTGCCTGGCGTCGGAGCTGGAACAGGCGCCCCCGGAGGCCGACCTCCGGTCGACGAGCCTCTACGGCCGGGTGCAGGTGCCCGGTCCCCAGGGCGGCAGCCGCTACAGGGACTTCAGAATCGTGGTGCACCTGGACGGCGGGCGGCGCCTGACTACCTTCTGCCACAAGGACGGCTCCTTCGCCGTGCAGGGCCTTCCCGCTGGGCTGCACACCTTGGACGTGTACGCGCTCGGCTGGTTCTTCCCCCAGGTACAGACCGCCAGCGGGGAGACGCTGTTTGCCATCTAAATCCAGCGTAGGCACGCGAGATGGCCAGTGTGTCGGTTTTTCACGTTGCCTGTAAGGATTTTTAGCCATTCATTCAGTCGTCCAGGTTCGGGAAGGGGGAGGGGGGATCCGGGGTTTTTGTTGATCGGTGGACTCGTGTGGCGCCGGTTTTGAGGGGTCTTGCGTGCACGGAGCGGCGCCCCCTGTGGCTTGGATGGGATGCCGGGCTTGTGTTTGCGCCCGGTGGAAAGCAGCAGAACGTTTTGTAGTTGTGCGTGCGGGTCATCGCGCGCCGAGGGGCAGGGGCCTTTGCCCTTGTGGTATGAGAGAGAATGAGAATTTCGAAGACAAATCTGATCAAGGGAATGTTGTGTGCTCGCTGTGCGCTTGTGCGCCTCCAATGAGCGTTGTGGCCTTTGCTTGCTGGGAGCCGTGGGCTGTTTGGAAGTTGGTGTGCCATAAACCCAATCTCCAGACTCCTGAAGAGTTTGCAGCTTCAGCAAGGAGTCTCCAGCGTGCATGTGTAGTTGTGTTTGCACACCAAGGATACGTGCTTCCCCGCTGCCTTGTCTCGCACAATGTGCAAGTGGCACCGCTTGCCCTCGTCCTGTTTGATGATGTGTTGGCCACTTTTTTAATTGGGTGGGCGGGTGGTGGGTGGCGGGTTTGGGGTATTAGCGCTGCCACGGACTGAGTGTGGTCGATGATCCATCAATCTGTGGGCCATCCTTCCATGGGCAGATGGATCGCGGCCAAAAAGTGTGGAGGTGTGGTAAGGGGTGCGAAGGAGGGGGAGGGCGGGGAAGAAGGGCCTGTGGTCTGGGATTGCTGTGGCGGATGTGACAAATGCGATCCTAACGATTTCAAATTCTGGAATGCTGTCGTGCAAACAGGCCGTCTTGGCCAGCGAGTGCTGTTGACCCCCTGGCACAGTGGCTTTGTTTCTGAGAGACATCAGTAGGCTTTTTGTGCTGACAACGTCAATGGTATTATAGCCTTTTGATGCACAAAAGGTACTTACGAAATCTCCATCTTCACTGAAAATGATGTGCAGGAAAGGATTCGTACTATTTCTTGTGCCATTTCTTGTGGTCTTGCCACAACAGGCCTTGCGGCTGGAAGTGCCACAAATATGCACATGAAATAGCAATCAGGATGGGCGGTAGTGGTCACGAGTTGCTTTGAGAGTCTTGCCTTTACTGGTTGATATAGTGCCCATGTGTTATAGTTATTTTAGAGTGCATGTCAGGAAGCATGCTGTACAACGGGCATCCTATTTCCCTTCTTGCCCAGATTTATCATGCTGTCCTGCTCTGATGATATGGGGCTTCAGGGCTTTGTTGAATATCATATTGATCGATGCAATGCAACTCAGGAATTTGCAGCAGCACAGAGACCTGTGTTTGCTGGTTGTTGTGCATCTGAGTGCATGGAGGGTCAGCACCAGGGAAATGTATGGCCTCTGTTCGGGCATGGGGCTACTCCAATGTGTCGACACCCTGGAGTTGTGTCCCCAGAAAGGGGTCAGCATTGTGCCCATCTGAAACCAAAGGTGAAAGATGGAAGAAACAATGATAACACCAGTCATGATTCAACAACAGGTGCATTGTGGCAGTGCTTGTGTATGGTCCGATGATGCAAGGGGAATGTATCTTCTGTCGGGACAGAGGTGGCACCTGGATTCTCAAGATCTGAGAGTGATCACATGGAGTGCTGTGCAGTGTGTTTTGGGAAAGTTGAGTTCCGATGTGTAATGGCACAGGTTAAGGTAGATGTCAGTGTGAGGAGTGGCACTGGAAACATACGGGCCGAGTACGCGGACAGGAGGAGCAAACTGGCGGTCCCGCTTGTGCTTCCCGGCAACCCAGTGTCCTATTACGATCAGCGGAAGCCCTTTAATGCGTGGTCGCTCGTCAAGAGTCCCTATGGGATCATGATTGGCGTTATGCTGGTCGGCATCTTCATTTTTCCCATGCTCAAGGTCGACCCGGAGGACTATAAACAGATGATGAGCGACTTGAAGGGGCAGCAGGGACAGCAACAGATAGCATCTGGCCGACACAAGAAGGACTAGTGCATCATGCCTCTGGTTTTCTCAGCCAATTTGTGTGCGACTTCTTGCCATGCGTTGTGCGCCAATTGCAATCACCAGACGCTGCGACTTCGGCTTGGGGAAAATGGATGGGGGCTGTACTTGTACACCACTTCTGTTGGCGCCTTGTTGCCGCTTTGGCTGCAGGTGTCAAAATCGGCAAAGCACTGCGGCGTTTAAAGCGATGACGGGCTTTTTTTCCCACATCGGAACTATGCCTGATTGCTGTCATTTTTTCGAAATCTTAGCGCAAGAGCCAGAAGTTGAAAGGTGCTGCCGTCTTGGTGTGCGACCTTAAGGTATCACAGCCAATGGACTTTCGTAACATCAGACATTTGAGAAGAGGTAAACAAAACAAACAGCTGATAAGTTGACAAAAATATGACAAAAAGTATCATCATTTCACGCCAACGCGGGTGTAGTTTCTTGCGTTTGCGAACAGATGCGGCGCTGGGAAGTCCACGCTTCTCCCTTGAACAACCAACAACGAAGGGTGTGGAAACATGTTTAGGCAAATGCCAATCACACTGCGGCACACTGCACCGCTGATCACGTGCCTCAAGCACCCGCAGCCAATGAGCCTGAGCGGGTGCAACTAAACCGGCCCTCAAACGGAGGCTCATCCTTCGACCGCCAGTCAGGGGGAGACGCCCGCAAACACCCCTCCAACGCAGGAAAAAGGCTCCAACAATTGGCGGTGGGTTGGACCAAAGTGCCCGACAAAAGCGTCGAAAAAGCGTCGCAACTGGCGCCTGACAGCCTGTCAATCCCCCGCTGTACTGAAAGAGCAGGCCCTCCTGGGCTGCCCGTTCCTGCCCACCCACCCCCGTCGAGACTCCGCGGCGAAGAGGCGAGATGCAGGCCGCCGGAGCCAACCGCGCCCTGGCCCCCGCGGCGGCGCCTGCCGTGAAGGTGCGCTTTGCCGCCTCCGATCCCAATGCTTGGCTCAGCTCAGCCATGGGTCGATCTGCATTTGTTGGGTTGATGGGACCGCCGGCAGCAACGGTCGCGTGGAAAGAGAGGCCGGTGTCGATGGGCGCCAGGAGTCTCTTTGATGTGGCGGTTGGGGCTGTGGCTTAGCGCCTGATGAATCGTGCTCGCGACGAGGTTGGCATGACCGTTGGGATGGGGACCGGGGTGGGCGCTAGTTGCGTCCTGGTCGCACTGGTTGGTCGACGATGTCTGGCGACACGCTGGGTTCGAACGCCTTTGACATCAAGGCGCCAGCACCCGAAGGCGAGGGGTGCACTGGGGTTGTCGAAATGGACGCATTGGCTGGGATGGCAGTTTGAGGCGGGGACCCCAGCTTGCACCTCTGTTTCTGCAGTTTGCACTGCGGCTGGGCAAGTGCCCGCCGATAATATTGCATGTTCGTAAGCCCTTCTCCCTTCTGCCTGTTCACGCCTGGGAACAGGGTTGGCGTGCACAGGTGCAGCCGCGGCAGCCGCAGTGAACTCGTGCTAGATAATGTACATGGGGATGCCTGAACGAATCCAGTGGCTGACCCTCTGGATTTGTGTATTCAGCAGGCCCGCTGCTGTGGGCCGGCAAGGGTGGGACGTCGGGGAGCTGCCCGGGTGACATGCATGGCGGCAGGCGCCACTGAACCCAAAAAGGTTCTGCTGATGGGTGAGTAGGAACGCTGAAGAGCGCCTGATGTGGGGACTGCTCTTCTCACACTTCGAAGTTCTGGTCATGGCGCTGCCAGCGCGCCAACAGCAGTATCACCTCAGAGCGGACACATGTGAGAATGTACAGGAAGTGGCACCCTGTCCAAAGGAAGGATGCATTCCCAGGTGTTGACCATCAACTGCTCGCATTGACTTTGATTGTCAGGGCTTTCAGCAGGGGCATCCTTTCCTTGATCACAATGTCCCGGGCAATGTGATATCCTGTTCGAATCAGCACAGCATTCTGGCCTTCGGAATTGAGTGGTAACTCCAAGTCATAGTCGCATCGTGGACCAACTCAGCCACCTTTGCATCAACCTGGACATGAAAACAATGGAGGGTCTCCTGCCCATGCAATCGCACTTTTCAGCTCTTGAGATTTTGCCAGCCTGGATTCCCCTGATTGCAAATTGGCCCACTCCCCAAACTTCCATTCTGACACGACTGGTCACCAAATCACCAATGCATTGACCTTTGGACATTCATCTTCACTGGTATGTGGAGCAGTTCATCCCAGTTCATGGTTCTGTGCTTCACAAGCCGATTATGTGGTTGTTGCAGGTGGCTCACGCTTCATCGGGGTCTACTTGAGCCGTATGTTGATCGAAGCTGGCCATGATGTCACGCTGTACACGAGGGGAAAGAAAGATGTAGCTTATCAAATCCCTGATGACACGGACGAGAGCTATGCCAAGTTTGCAGCTAGTGTGCACCACATCAAGGGTGACCGGAAGGTGTAGATCAGAATGCCCAGGCTTGGGTTTTCATTCTGACCTCCAGCTAGCCTTTTGAAAGAATTAATGTGCATGCGAATTTCTCCAGTTACTTCCCCTCAGCTTCAAAAAAATGCAAAGCCAAGTAGAGATGTGGGGCTGCACTCTGGATTGGAAGACAGGAAAGGACATGGCCTGTACAAGGGATGATAGCTTGTTGGATGCTAAAACGATACCGTTGTGAGCCTTTGCGGAGTATTGCCAGAGTGACGATGGCTATGGGCATGGAAACTGACCTTTGCATACCTGTTCGTTGTGGCACGTTCAGCATTGCATTTACCAAAACATGGCAATGCACTACTCACTGATCATGTTTTGTTGGGCTCGTTCCTCAGCTGACAAGTTTCAAGTGGCTGGCAGCACATTATACACCTGTGTGGTCTGTTCCATGACAGGATGAAGCCGATTTGAAGGCTAAACTGTCTGGGCAAGGTTTCCAAGGTAGGGACTGGCTCCTTGCAAAACTACCATGACCTCACCTTCTTGTGCTTCTGTTTTTGTGACGTCTGCTTTGCATTTTTCTGTTCATGTCTCAATTGAAAGGTGCTCAGGGCAGTGTGAGTGGTAAAGGCACATGTGTTCTTTTTTGGAACACCCAAAGATGTGGAAGACATGCCCTTCTTTAAGGATGTCGAATATTCAGCACGGAGAAGCAGAGATGACTCAAGTGAAATATTGGTTAATAAGTAGCAGGGGTCGCAATGAAAGTTTCCAAAGGAGGCAGAATGCATTGTTACCTGTCATCTGGCAAGTACTGCTGCCACACTATATAGGTTACAACAGTGCCTTTTGCAGTTGTGCTACATGCCACTGTTTAGGAGCTTTGCCCTTGAGATGTCAAGGTGCTCATGAGCACTGCTGCAGTTTAAGGACTGTGTCTTGAAATCGTTTGCCCACTGAAGATCGTCAGTTGCAGTTTTGCACTGCACTAACTTATCTGCACTGTTGTCCTGTCTATCATCATCCAGACGTGGTGCGCATTCAGGAGTTCATTGTTCATTGCCTGGCAAGTTTCTGGGTTACATCCACTGAGTTAAGTGCAAAATTGAAAGGCACGCATCCCAATATTGGCTCCCTAAAGGAACTTCTTTTCTGTATCCAGTTGTCTACGACATCAATGGAAGGGAAGCATCCGAAGCTGCCCCTCTGCTTGACACGATGAAAGATCTTGAACAGTGAGTGTGGGCACCTATCGTCCCTGGGTGTCTCTCCATTCTGTCATCAACTGTGTCACTGTTCTGATGGCTTAAAGGTGATCAGCATATGTTTTATCCCAGTTTGTTCGAATGCGACTTGAAGCAGTTCTGAGTATTGAGCTAAATCGAAAGTGTTTGCATTTTCCAAGGTAGATAAAATGCTGCCCTTGCATGTGCTGAGCGATGCCTATTTTCTTACTTGGTTCCAATTTTGGTTGAATCCATTTGGTTCAGTTTGGTTCAGATTGAATTTAGATCTGTGCACCTTGTTTGCTGATCGTGATCATCAGATTTTGTGCCTCCCATTGGAGCTTGTATTGATGGGCTGGGCATGTTTGGTGTGTGTTGCTATTGGCAGAGCAAATGGCGATTGATGCAGAACTGGGTTGCATGTTGCCACCAGCACTGTGTTCAATCCTTTGATTTGTCTCTGGGGGCTTGGTTGTTTCAGAAACTATCCCAACATGTCTGGTACTGCAAAGAAATGACAGCTTGCCATGTTGAGTCGTTGCAAATCATGTGCTTCACTGCGTTTTGGCCTGTGAAGCACAGGTACTGTTTGACCATTGTGGCTGCCTTAAGCAGATATTACACATGCCCCATGACTGCATTGCGGACATCTTGACAGGACATTGTCAAAACGATTTGAGGCAATGCAACGCTGGCACATGCTGTGCACCACACACGATCAGTTGTTGGACTCTTATGGTAGATCGCTGAGCACGTTGGCTGCTAGCGCTGTTGCGCCCCAGCATGTGCTTGATCGTGTTTCTCAAAGTTGAGCACACGTGGACATAATGGGCACTAACATGAAGTGATGAGTGCATTGGAACTATCGCTATATGCACCACCAAAACCCATGGACAATGGTACAGCCACAAAAAGGACCACAATTTGGAACCTAGCGGTGCTGGATGGTGTGACAAATCGAGGTGTGTCTACCCTCGACTCCTCTTGGTGTTATGCCAGTGTCAAGGAGTGACCTTTTGCCACAAAGGGGTCGAGTCAGTGATTCTGTGTGCCTGACGTTTGTATCTCAAAACCCAGACAGGTGAGTTGTGGCAGTGCTATCCGGCGGTGCAGACATGTTGTTGGCTTTGTGCTGTGTTTTAGCTCTCTGAAGCAGAAGACTCTAAACTTCTTGCTTAATTTTCAGGTATATTTTCTGCTCATCGGCTGGTGTGTACCTCAAGTCTGGGCAAATGCCCCATTGTGAGGTTGATGCTGTCGACCCCAAATCCAGGCACAAGGTAACAGGAACCTGCCCACAGTGGCCACCCTCCCCTCTTGTAACCTACAGTTAGAAACAATGGAACATAGCTTGTTAACCAAGTGAACATGTGCCAAACGGTCAAAAATGGAAGAAAACTGGAAAGGAAGAATGGATACAAAGACAGACCAACAGAGAAGAGTAAGTTGGCTCCTTTGCAGTTGTGGTGACGGCACTACTTTGAAATTCACCCACTGACTGCATTCACGGCTGCGCATTCTGGCCCCTCAGCATCGTGAACTGCATTTGTCACGCAAACCAACAAGCTAGGTCTGTAGCGGTGGAGGACAGCGAAGCCCTGTGTCACGTCGATGATCGCCTGCTCAAATGGAGAACCAGCAGGCAAACCTGGTGCCAAAACCGACCTTCCAGACTGCTCCCTGACTATGCTGAATCATTTGCTCTGCAGGGCAAGTTGGAGACTGAGGACCTGCTGGACAAGAGCGGCGTGAACTGGACATCATTGCGCCCTGTGTATATCTATGGGCCACTCAACTACAATCCCGTCGAAGAATGGTTTTTCCACAGAATCAAGGCAGGCCGCCCAGTGCCAGTTCCGGGATCGGGGATGCAGATCACTCAGGTGTGTATCGATTGCTGCTGTGGGTCCAGCTTCGTTGCAACAAGTGTGTTGTATGTGATCGTGGGAGAGTTTTTGGGCGCATTCTGTTATAAGCAAGCAACAAGAGTACGCATGATAATATGAGAAGGAAGCTGATCTGAGGGGAAATGCACATTGTGCAGGCCCTGTGGGTCACAGGCTTCCTGTAGGTTGGATTTGCTGAGAACGTGATGGACGCATCAGCTGCCTCTTCAGACAAATCTGAAGTGCATGAGATCGAGTTTACAGTGAACATCTCCTTTCAAGGGCATGCAGCCATCAGCATTGTTTGGTGCTGGTGCTGGCCATATCCCGTATAGCCCATTTGAATATGGCTATTGTGCAATGCATGCACCAATCGCATTTCACCTGATAACCAGTTTCAGCAGAATTCGATCAAATTTTCATCACTCAATCTGATCGCATGGTGTATGTCCGCAGCTTGGCCATGTCAAGGACTTGGCCTCTGCATTCGTGAAGGTGTTGGCCAACCCCACCGCCTATGGCCAGATCTACAACATCTCAGGCGAGAGGTATGTCACCTTCGACGGGCTGGCGCTGGCCTGCGCCGAGGCCATGGGCGCCCCTGAGCCAGAGCTCGTGCACTATGACCCCAAGTCGATGGACTTTGGCAAGGCCAAGGCCTTCCCCTTCAGGGACCAGCACTTCTTTGCGTCGATCGACAAGGCAGAGAGGCAGCTGGACTGGAAGCCTGAATTCGGACTCGTTGATGGGCTCAGGGATTCCTACCAAAAGGTGCGTTGAAGTTGTGACCGCGGGTGGCGTGCCGATTTGGCAAAAGTGAGTGCAAGGCTGAAGTACCGAGTCCTCTGAAGTCTGGAGTACTTGTTCGTCGTAAATGGCGTGGGAGACGCAGGGTTGCGCGCTCATTTGCTTGTCGTTGCAAGATTGCTGAGCTTGGCGTTTGTTTGGGCGCCGATACATGACATCGCCGCTGTGTCGAAAGGCTTTTGGTGCGTTGACGCATTGCCGCTTGTTGGCATTTGTCACTGTGCTGGCGCTGTGCCGTTGTGTGCGTTTTTGCTGTCTTTCTTATCGCAAACATTGCCATTGTGAAATCCCCAAGTGTTGCCATTTTTGTGCCCTGCAAGCGTTCGGCTTGTGGATGCTTCAGCCCATGCCTTCATCCCTGAAGCCCTTCTTGGGAAAACATCAGCGATTCACCTGAAGCTTTGTATCCACATGGAGCGAAGACACCCGTGCCAACCCTTGGCTTGTGCTCCTAACTGACATGTCTTGGTCTGGTACAGGACTTTGGCAGGGGCAACTACAGGAAAGAGGCCGACTTCACGACCGATGACATGGTTTTGGAAAAGGTCAAGGGAGTTGTCGCGGTCTGAGCTGACGAGCGCAGAGCAGGCGGAAGTCGGCATTAATGGGCCGTGCAACAGTCAGCGGTTGAATGACGGCGGCCTACCATTGGCTGCGAACGATTTTGTACCATATTTTTGTCGGTCGGCGAGCGAATGTCCTTGGTTCCCTTTCGTCACACAGCGAGGTCGATGGCTCCTTTAATGAAAATTGAGATTGCACACGCGTTTGAGGGCGAACTATCGTAGGTTGCGAAGTGTGCAGCCAAAAGCCTGTGTGCCTCCGTGCGCACCAGTGCCGACGGGCGCATATGTGTGTAGCGGCCGCGTTGCACAGGATGGCCCACATCCGGGAGATCGTGAATGCTCTGGTGCGATTTGTGCGCTTGTGGCGCCAGCTCACGGGTCCCGAACCAGACGCTCAAGTGACTTGTTGCTGATTCGCTGCCGGCCATCTCCTCACATGCGCGAGGCAAGCGTATGTCGGGGCCCCCACTGTCGGCGCGCACACTCTTTTCATACCATCGTATGTGATTATACTGTTGAAGTGTCGTTCTGTTCTATGTTGCACTGGAACCAGGGCAGGATTCCACAGTCAGCGACCAACAGGGCGGCAAACAGCGCCGTATGCCGCCCCGTGATACACGCCCAGAACCATGCTTCGTCCTCCCGCGGCATTGCAAACTTTCAGCGTCCTTGTGCGAAGGGATTGCTCGTCGCCATTGTGCCCACTCAGGGTCGCCCGGAATTCTCTTCCGTTGTGCATTGCGTCAGGACAGCCATAAGACTAGGAATGGAGGCCGGGTGGGAGCCGCTAACGGAAGTTCCTCACGCTCATGACGGACCTCCAGCACAGTCCCAGGGGCCCCACGCAAGGTCCGGTACTGCTCAGACGGGTGAGGCGTTAAGCTGCGGATTCGATCCCCTGGGGGGGGCAGCCAAGCTTGGAAAAATCGTCCCAACTGGCTCCAACCAACAAGCCGGGAGGCAGGCTGTTCGCACGACCAGCCGCTCAAATACAAAGATCCGAATCTCCTTTTTAAAGCTGTCAAGGTTTATGGATCGCGTCCAGCCCAAAACGGGGGAATTGAAACCACGTCAAACATCAGAGTCCGTGCTCCCAAATCAATCAATTCAATCACATCATGGCAACCAGCTCGAGACAAGCATGGTGCCCCTGCTGGGTCAAATTGAATGTACACCCAACAACCACCCAGGTATGACTCACCTGGATGTTGAAATATGAAGCAGTATTTTCGAATCAAAAGACAGGAGGAATGGTTTTACTTGACTGATGTTGTGCCGTTTGCCGTGATTATATGCTGTTGCACAAACAATGGCGCGTTTGGTGGTGGACGATATGTTGCATGATACGGTCATATTCCGCTATTTGCAATCTTAAAGAAAAATTGAATTAATCTTACAGATTAACAGGGACACTCAAATCCTTTGATTACATTTGTCACATGAACATGACAAAACACTGCCCTTGCACCACATAGGCGATGTTGGGCAACAGGGACGCGTTCTTCCTTTCTTTCTGTGGACACCCCCGTGGTGCACGTGTTGTATCTTCATGCATATGTTCATGCTGTCGATTTCGTCATGGAATTAAATTCCTCCCGTAAAAGGATGAGTCCTGCCCTTCAAACGGATGAATGTTGGCCCCAGCCCCCCCAATGTCGGTGCTGCCACCGCCGGCGCACGTGTCACCGGCAGTGACTGGGCCACCGGCACCCAGCGACCAGCGTGCAGTGAGGGGCGCCCAGGCTCTGCCGGGGTTGGGTCTGCGAGGGGCGCCCGATTTCTGGCGGGGCCGTGGCAGCGGCGTTGGCCCACGACTACGCAGAGCAGAAAGGGCGCGAAGACACAAGGCGCCACATCGCAAAGGGCGCCAGATCGTGGATGTCAATCGCAACTGAATCCCCACGATGAGTACAGATGATTCCCCACGATGAGTACGACAGCGACGTCGCGGACGAGCGTCCATCCGCTTCAGAACGCACAAGGCGGGAATGGAAGGAGGCGTTCAGCTACGCCAACCGTTCAAAATTGAAACCGTACAGAAACCCTGTTGCTGGAGTCGCCGAGGGTGACCGCTCGGCTGTCCCACCATCAGTCGCCCCCCCATTTTGAGCCGGAGAAGGGCCTGACGCTGTTGGCGAGTGGCGCGCATCAACGGAAACCCGGTTGGTGGAAGACCGGAAACGGGCACCGGTGCCTAGGGCCTACGCTGGGGGGGCTGGGGCCAACATTCATCCGTTTCAAGGGCAGCAATCATCCTTGTACGGAGGGGTTTAAGTTGTGCCCGTAGGTTTCACTCCTGCCGTCGGTGGAGCTATAGCGCTGCAAAGCGGAGAAGGACCCGTCTTGTGCTAGGACGGGGGTGCTCCTTTGTATGGAATAGCGCGCGCACACACACACACACACACACACACACACACACACACAGGGGGCCCCACTGGTGCTAGGGAGCTTTGGCCCCTCCATCCGCCGCACCTGGACATGGGTTCCGAACACACATTGTTTTGGGCTGGCTATAGCCCCTGATATGCCCGACACATCCTCGATGCTTCCGGGCTTGGTTGTGCTATTTTGGTGCATGCAACAAATCGGACATACACACACACACACACACACACACACACACACGCGGCACCTCCGTCTACGGCATCTACGGTACCCCCTGGGCGATTTCCGCAAACGACCACCAACAACCCCGTCCCACGGCACGGGGCCCGCACGGGGTTGCAGCCCACCCATGGCACCCCCAGTAGCGCGAGCGCCACTTTCCCGCAGCCACGCGGCCCCGTCGGCCCCGCCCCCCTTCTCCGCAGCCAGGCCCCGCCCCTCCAATGTCTTAGGCGCTGCCCGCCGTGCGCATCCCCCCCCTTACCGCATCCCTCACGTGACGGGCAGAGGGGGCGCCCTGGGCGACTCAGCGGGGCCATCCCTGACGATGCCGAGTCATGATTCGGGCATCGGCGGAAGGGACAGCTCGGAAGGGAACCGAGGTTGGGGGGGAGATGCCAGCGGCGGTGGGGAGCGTGATGGGCTCGCTTTTTCCACGGGACGCGCCCCGCCCCGGTCACAGGGACCATCGCCGTCGACGGCGAATCATGACTCGGGCATCGGCGGGAGGGACAGCTCGGAAGGCGTCGGAGGCCGGGGGGGAGATTCCGCCGGCGACGGGGATCAACATGGCCTCGCTTCTTCCGCGGGTAGCGCCTTGACCCGCACGCAGGGACCAGCGGCGTTGGCGCTGAATAATGATTCGGGCCCAGGCGGGGGGGACGGCTCCGGCGGGGTGGGAGGATCGGGAGGACTTCCCGCCGGCGACGGCGGCGACGATCGGGATGAGCACCCCTCCGGGCGGGGGGCGTTCTGGCTGGCGTGCACGCTTTTCCTGTTTATGTGCGGCGGCCTGGCGCTGTGGGAGGGGATGTGCGTCTGGATCGGGGTGCCCCGCCTGTGGAGCGCGGCTGGAATGGCATGTCTGGGCGCATCCGCGCTCGCCTTCCTGCGCTTCGCGGCGGCGGCCGGGGACAGGTGGCGGTCTGGGTGGCTGGGGGTGGCGATGGCTGGCTCGGCAGCGCTGGGCGCGATGTACTGGGGCACGCTGTGGCCGCAGGTCCGGCGTGGCGCGCTGGCCGTCAAGTCGGGCGCCCTCAGAATGGGCCTGGGGGAGGCCCCCCAGGTCGAGCGGGCCACCACGCGGGACATCCGAAACTTCCTGAGGCGCAACTCGGAGGTGCTGGCTTCAGGAGGCGGGGGGGAGAAGTTCTTGGTCGTGGGCGGGCCCCGGGGCCCGGGCAAGGCGTCCGCGATCGACGCCGCGCTGCGCGGGGATCGGGGGGTCGCGCGCGTGGCGTGGCGGCGGGGAATGGCCGCCCGGGACGCCGCGGACGCCGTGCTGGCCGCCGTGGGCCTGCGCGTGCGGGGCGGTGGGCGGGAGCGGGCGTTCCGGGAGCTGTTGCGGCGATGCCGCGACGGCGGGTACCCGATGACAATCCTGGTGGCCGTGGAGGACGGCGCGCGGGCGCGGGAGGTGGACCGGGTGATCGAGTTCGTGAGGGGGCCGATGGAGGGAGGGCGGATGGCGAACTTCGTGATCGACGCGCCGGCCGCGGCGGTGCAGTCCACGGTGGACCTGGGCGTCCCGCCGCTGCGGGACTTCCTGCCCACCTCGCTGACGTTGGTGCAGACCGTGCGCCTGTCGAGGGGTTTCTACTGCAGGTCGCATCCGGTGTAGCGGGCTGGCTCGGCGCCGTGGTCCGGGATGGGAGGACGCCGAGGCCCGCGGAAGGAGGGTTCTGCGAGCCGTGAGCGTCAACCCGCTTATTCGGTGGTCCGGAAGCCCATGTGTGTGACGTCTTGCCGGAGTGCAACATCATTTGGTGCAAGGGGTTCAGCGAGACGTCGGGCCAGATTCCTCTGACAAGAAGAGTGATGGAGCGTCACTCTTTTTGTCGTACAGCACGGGACGCGTAGACGCCGGGCGTGGTATCGCGTTTGTGTTGAGGACCCAGACTCGTGCGGAAATTAGTGCTGGGGGACGGCCGTGGGAGTTGCTTGGAATGGGGGGGTGGGGTGACGCTTGCTGCCACAGCCAGCCGAACTCCATGCGCTGTGTTTGCCTTCACAACACAAAACGGAGCCCTTGCGCCTTGCAGGCAGTGATGGACGCCACGATGGGACAAAGGCATGGACGACAGTGTTGCCGGTGACTGCTCGTCGTTCTCTTGATTCTTTTGTGGTTCGAGGCCATATTAGGGATTCAGATGGCATGTCAAGGGGTTTGGAATGGTCCCCAGAGTTGATTCCTGCGGATCAACAATAGAATTCACGGATAGCGGAATGGCAGCAGCGTTGCTATTTGGGCCCGAATGGAGAGTCTAGCTTGCAGGGCCACGTCATAGGGTGGCTCATGTGAATCCAGTCGAGGCCCGTTTTGAATCTCTCCCAACTCGGGGCAAATATGCTGACAATCATTTGTACAACATTGCAAAATCATAAGACGGACCTCGCATCAGGGGCAATACGCAGTGTACCATGTCTGGGCGGCAGAGTTTAATGTGCAGAGTCTGCAACGCGATCACCTTGGCCAAATTAACTGATCCTCCTAATAAATTGCTAATTTCGCCTGCAAGACGATTCGGGCAGCCCGACCTTGCTGCTGTTGCCCACCGTCCTGATCCTATGCGCCACGTGGGATTCCGTCTGAGACGCCAATTGGATGCACGGCTCCAACGGCTGAAAAAATGAATGAGTGATGACACCCTGCACAGGATTCCCACGCGCCCTGCGACCGCCGTTCCCTCAGTGGCAAAGAATGAGCGCAATAAAACAATCCCGGTAAAACCAACAAATCGCCAAAAAAATCGCAAGAATTCGCAAAAACAATTCGGCTTCCTGTTTGGATGCGACCATCCCGCGCCAGGGGGGGCGCGTGCCCTGCCCTTTTCTGGCGCAGCTAAAGTACATTGCTGATTTTCCAGAAGTCTGGAATCTCCTGCGACACCTCCTTGGCGGCATCCGGTGAGGTGACGGCCACAACGCGCGCCTCGGGACCCCGGACGCTTTCCAGGTACTGCGCGTACTCGTGAAAGTCCTTGACTTGGGTTGCCAGGATCTGGTCACGGCGCTCCTGCCGCTCGGCGTCGGACACGTGCAGCAGGCGCCGCATGAGGGCGGTGCTGCCCTTTGCATCCGGCAGTTGGTAGGCATCGACGTCCCCTATGGCACCTGCAGTTAGCACACACACCAGGCAAATCAATCGCTGTGACACAAGCGGAGCTAGTTGTGGATGTGAACAGCGTCTGGTGTCGTGCACAAGGTACACACATGGGTGGCGAAATTCTGAATTAGCAATACATGCAGATTTGCGCGGAAGGGTTGGTGGGTTGAAGTTGAATAAATGCGGGGTATGGCGGGTTTGCGGGACAGGCCCAGTATCGACAGAAATGATCCATTAGGATTTTGAGGAGGAAGCCATGTGGGCAGCACAAGGACTTGATGGATGCCCACGCATGGGCCCACAACTTTCAGTCCAATAATGTCCAGAACAGTGAAGCTCCGAGCACCTAGGCCATCCTCCAACGGTGTCATGGGATGCATCCGCAACAGCGGAGAAGTTTCATGTCAAATCACAGCCGACTGGGTGAAGTGCAAGCTGTCCAGTCAGCCAGGGTGACGCACAAGAGCTCCATCGCAGGAAGACGTCGCCTGATGCAAAAGTGAGACTCTGTGGTAGAGAAACCTACTTCATGGGCAACAATGGGCAACAACGCATGGCAACATGCAAAAAGTTGAGGCAATGTCTTTGAGGCGCCCATCACGCGGGCAAATTATTGGCAAAAGGACACTGTTCTGCCCTTGGAATTCCAAGGCAGAGCTAATTTGCAGGCAGACTGGGCGTTTTCAAGCGCAACCAACAGCACTCTGGGCGCGGCCCTTACCGATGATGGCCTGGACAAGTGCGTCGTCATCCATGCTCAGATTGCTCAGGAAGTCCACGGCGCCATCGTAGTTGGCCAGGGTACCCAGCAGGTTTGGGTCCCTGTACGAGGAGAAGGTGAAGTTGCCAGAGTGCTGGTTGAAGCTGCCCGAGGCACCGTAAGCACCGCCGACCACTCGGACGCGATCCCAGAGGTAAGACCGTGACAGGTTTTTCCCTATGACGGAGGAAGAGCCGTCCAACTCATACCCCGCGTCTTTGTACAGGTTGACGCTCTTTGCGACGTAGTTCACCTGAGAATGCCAAGCAGTCGTCAGGGGCCCTGCATGTGGTCTTAAGGGAAGTGGCAGGCTGTCACTAGTTCCACAGCTTGAATGCCCAGGGCCTGTGGCCACTACAGGGGCAGTTCAAGTACTGCCCACAGAAGAAAATGCCAGGAACTATGCGATGCAGGACTGTGGCAGCTGGGCAGTTAAACATTCTCGGCAGGAGCAGTGATAGGGCAACACATGAAAGACAGGAACCGCACATCGCACATCCTACAATGTTCCTCACATTCCATGTGCGCCATTGCTGTGTTCATCTTCATCTTTCAATTCTTCTGAACTCATTCCCAGCAGCAAAACCTCTTTCAGCAGCAGATGTGCTGCCGGTTCTATAGTTATATTCAACACTCATTTCACACAAATCGAAGCAGCACACAAATGTGGCCAGAGGTCCTAACGCGCCTCGTCCTGTGCATCACCTGAGTAGGCACAACCAGCAGTTCATTCACCCGCGGCAGCACCACCGACCAATCTTCGCTGGCCCTTTCCTCAGAGGGCAGCGCATCAAGGAACTCAGACACGAAGGGCCCCGCCGCGCCCAGAGTTCCCTCGTCGGCGGTCAGGTTCAGAATGGTGCCGTTGCTGGTGAGCAGCGAGGAGCGGATGGCATGCAAGTCGCTCTGCACACCAGGCCAGTCAGAGTCCACCCTCTCTGCCAGCTGGCGCACGTACTCGAGGTAGGACAGCCCGCCAGTCATTTCCGACACCCACCCTGCTGTGCTCCTCTGCGCAGCCAGGCGCATGCTTGCAAACCTGTTGCCAGCTCCAACAAGTCCTGCTCCAGGCACGCGCGCGTCAGACAAATTCGCACAAGTGTTGCGAACATGAGCAGGAGGAAACTCATTGTCCTTCGCACAATTACATTCTGTGTTATGGATGCATTCATTCATGCCCCTTGCACCAGTGGGGCTGAGACGGGAGCCATATCAATGAAAAGCAGCGATGCCCATGGCAACCAGCATCGCCGGTGTGTGCCTCACATGCGCTATCTTCTAGCCATCTGTAGCCAAAATAGAGGCATGGACATCTGATGGCCTGACGCAATGTGATAATTTATGTGCACAAGGAACCAATTCTGCCCATATTATGATGCGCAACAGGGCTGTTTAAACATGCACAATCAAACAACACGGGTGCACGTGGACTGCCTGTGTGCGTTTGCATGCTTCCAGAGTGTCCTGCGGCACACCAGATGGATTTGTGCTCTTGTGCTGGGGGGAGAGGCACTAAGCAATGCATGGTCGAAACAACTCCCAGCTGTACCTGACTCCAACCTTGCCTTGCTCTCAAGGACCATCTGCTTGAACCTTTGCTGGTTGTCAAGTCGGCCTTTGAGCATGACGTTCTGCAGCAAGTCCATGAGATCGCCCACCTTGTCCTTAGTGGTCTTGGCCTGCAGAATACGAAATTAATTCAGAGAAAATAGTGCGACTGTACCCCCAAAAGCCAATGTCTTGAGTTATCACGTGCAGGCCTACGCAAGCCTTCAACTCTGTGACAATCGCCCGCAATCACCACTAGGGTGCAAACGCAGAGCGTTGGGCTTGAAGACAAATGTATTCAAATGCATTGCAATCCCGATGGCACATGTGCGTTATTGCCCTGAAGGTGCAAAGAAAGTGCTTTTTGGTGTCCCCAACAAAACATAATCAATGGATATGTAAAATTCAAAGTCAAACGCAAATAATCGACTTGCAGATTCAAGGGAAAACGTTGTCACTTTCCAACACATGTATTGAAGAAATTCACAGCAATAATGACTTTGAGTTTCTTACCTTGACCATGATCTTTGCAACAGGCTCGTCTTCCCCGCGGACGTCAGAAACCAACGGATATACAGAGATGCCGCCGGTCTTCCCATCGATCTGCTGCGTCAGCTCCACGAAGCTGTAGTCCTCTGTCCCCATCTGCGTCACACACTTACAGTAGAGGGGAACAAGAGGAAGAAGGGTGGCAGGAACACCCCTGGCACACAAGTTAGCACACAAGTTAGCAGAATTATCGCTTGAGTGGCTTGGGGCTGGAGCAGCAGTGCGCTGCAGATTGGAATGAGCTCAACAGGTGCTTCATGCATTCCGCAGTGAGCAACACAAAAATCAAGCCACTGGAAGTGTCATTGACTAGCCAGTTTCTCGCAAAAACCAAACGGGGTGTAGAAATGTGCAGCAACTCAACTATTGCCATGCAGTGGGTTGGAGCAATCATGGAGACACTGTATTCCCTAAATGTCGTTCCCTATCCTTGTGACTGCGAAATGTGGACCGATGTGGAGAGAACAGACAGCTGCCGCTGCCAGCCCTGCAGAAAACTGTCAATGGCTTGAATATGCAAGGTCAGGAAATTGGAAATTAGTCCTTGACACGCAAGTGAATTAGGATAACGAATTGAGGTTGAACACTTACATGAACGAACAACAGATCTTGAATAACAGTGCATCAAATAAAGGATCAATGTTCACCAATGCCAGAATCTGAGAAGCCGTTGTACAGCAACAAGGATTGACACACAAGATGGCAGCAGCAACAACAGTGGGGGTGGCAGCCCAGATGTTTCTTTAGGTTCAAGTACATGTAAACATGTGCACTAAGTACAAGTACAACAATGAACAGACTGAGAAGACAGAATATAGATAAACGCAACAATAAGGAAAGCTATGGAAAGGGGCAAATTTACCTCATGTCCAGTGCTGCCTCGAAGTATAGGATGTCGTTTGTGAAGAGCTCATGAGAGAGAATTGTAGAGTCCTTGTACTGCTGCTCGTCAGTGGGTATCATCGTTATTTCCCGAGGAATGTCATCCAGCTTCAGGGTGGGGATGGCCTTCAAAGCTTCTGGAGGATCTGGTGTAAGCTGATGCTTTTTCAATTGCTCAGTGCTGCTGACAGTGGATGCGATCTGCCAACACGTGACTCATTTATTAGTGACAATATCATCTGGAGCATATGTGACAATTAGGGCACGGAGACCTAATCATGCACTCAACCTCGCTGGATAGGAGTTCTGGACAGTGCAAGGCAAAATTACTAGTGACAGGCTCCATTCACTACAGCTGCTGGTGCAAAGCAGCAGTCGGATGAATTGGCAATTCTGGCTTTCACAATCTCCTGTTTTACACCCCCACACTCTTCAGATCATTGATCTGTGCAGGCTGGTGTAAGGTACTGAGTTGTGTCTTTCATGTCACAGCATCACACCAATCATCCACCATGTGTTCAAGAACAGTGGTTCGTTTTGACTGGAACAAGGCGAAATCATTCATTGTGTGCAATATGTGCATCGCCATCAACTGTTCCTGACCTCCTCCTTGCTCATGCTCTCCCTCTCCTTCTTGAGACGTGCCAGTTCTTCTTCGACAGTTTCACCTGCAAGCTTGGCATCTGGCTGCATCTCGAGGGCCACCTTGTGAGGATTGTCTATCAAATACTTGGTGATCAGGCGCCCAAACACGTCTTCCCCGCTTGCCAACCGCTGCTTGAATTGTGCGAGGTCCTCCTGCCACTGCAAAGGACCAGGCAACATGCTTGCGATGCATTGGTTGAACTAACATGCCAAACAGCAGCTCACAAGTTTGTCCACGCTGAACTTGCATGTACCTCCGAGCAAGTTGCTGACGAGTGTGACAAAAAAAGTCCCAAATTCATGAAGGCAGTGCAGTGCAGCATTATTCACACTGTTGTTTCATTTCTGCATCTTGGAGCATCCCTTACAACAAGCTGGTCCTGACAGTTGCTAACTCAAAAATGAACAAAACACAACCATTCTGAGGGGAACGGCGTCATTAGCTGCCATCAGCAACATATCCCAAGCAGAACAATAAAACTTGCCGTTCCTGGCAGATCCTAGCTCACTCCTACCTTTATGTTCTCAATGGGCTCCCTGTCGTAGATCCAAGCATTCACAGCTGCAAACATCAATGCCAAACCCCTTGGGAAACTGCCAGTATTGTTTTCCCTGAGGGAGAACTCGATTGTGTTCAGTGCCGCCTGAACTGCAGAATCAGAAAACCCTTTCTTGGAAAGTCTCAGCAGCTCTTGCTCAATAATTTTCTCCACCTGAACCAACATCACATTAACAATCCAGCACTCATGATGGAAGATGATGGAAGATCAAACAACAGGGACTGGAAAACTGTTTGAACCAGCAGCAGAAGTCATGACACATTTGCAAGCAAGGGCATCCCCTGCACAGCTGCACAGTGCTCTTGGCATTTGGGATAACTTTGATGTTCGCAACCCCAACTGTCAAATGCAGCAGGCAAATAAATTGCACTTCTTTCTTTCAGGAGGGGTCTTACTTTATATCCTATTCCCATCGCATTGGATCAACAACTGCTGGACAATGACCCACGGACACAAGAGTACAGCCATGTTTTCACTCTGGCATTCAACAGCAAACTGAAAACATCGTTGTGATACATGCAAACCTCCAAGGCCCACTTCACCACACACAGACTCACCTTCTCTCCGTCTGCAGTGTCCACTCCCTTGAGCCCCACAGAGAAGACAGGCTGCTTCACCTGACTGTTCAGCCCACGTCCTATGAGTGCCTCCCCGAGACCACTGTCCATGAGGGCCTTGTACAGTGGGGCAGCTGGTGTGCCCAGCATGAGGTAATCCAACACCTGGAATGCGATTTGTGTCTCTGTGTCGAAAGGCGACTCGGACAGCACCCAGTTCAAAGAGACAAACGCCTGCAGAAGAACCGGAGATGTCAGCAAGAAGTACATGACTGTGCCTGTGTGATGCATGTGTCCCTGCACACCCACAGCGCTGGTGCAATGCATGGGCCTGCGACATTATGCCCTAGAGTACTGGGACTTACGCATCAGAGTCCTTGCCAGTGCCTGCAGAGTGCATGTTATAGTTCTGACGTCATCGCTATCATTTTCCATGATATCACTGCTGTTACCTTTACTGCTGTGAATGTGCTTCTGGTGTCCCACAACAAATGTCCCCTGTGACATTAGCCACTGCTTTTCTGCCAAGGTATAATCAAACAGTTATGACAGCTCAGGCACACTCATAACTGTGAGTGTAGAGGTTGATATATAAACTTCAGATCCAACTTCGCTGTGATGGAAAATGAATGGGGCCTTAACGCCTTGTGACACAAGTTTAGAAGGACCCGAATTTCACAGGTTTCCCAAGGCTGCCCCAAAATGCTATGTCGATGGGGCCCTCTTCCAGCGAGTGCGGTGTCAAAGCATTCGCAGCACGGCTTCGGATGGAAGCCAGCACACTCATCTTGAAAGTTGGGGTTGGTGTAGAGGTGCTGAAAGAGAACCCCCATCACCATAGCGTTTTGGGGAAGCCTTGGAAAACCTGCGAAGCTCGACACTTTGGATGCGAGTTGCAGGGAGCCAAAGCCCTGTCAATTTCACTTTACTATGAACTTTGTTCTGAGTTTCATGCACCATCCTCTCCATTCACAATTACGAGTGCAAGAACTTCTGTGCATATCTGATGGGTGACATTTGCTGTGGGACAAGGGAAGCAGTTACCATTACTTCTATTGTCATCATTGCTATACTGATCCTGTTGCTTGGTGCATGTATCATACAACAAACGGATGTGCAGGTGGAAAGAACCACATAACATTTGACGAACACAGGAAATCAGATGACAACTGCAAAATGTCAGCATGCCATGGGAGGACCGCCCTGCCCACCTTTTTCTCTTTCTCCCCAGCAGCAAACTTTTCGACCACTCGCTTGGGCTGCGTCATCAGGGGCTGCATTGCTACTGAAGAATCGACCTCCCTCCTCTCAAACTTGCTGAGATACTCGTCCAGTATTCTGAGGCGCTCAACAGGCGGATCGTTGCCAGAGAACCAAATCCTTGAGTTGCTGGGATGGTAATATGCAGCATGGAAGTCCTGAAGTGGATGCACAAGAAAGAGGTCAGTGCGGCATCATGTGCCTCAACAGGCATTTCAAGAAGCGTGCACAAGTTGCAACATTTTCCACCCTTTTGCATTCGCTGTTGCTGACTGGCTTCTGTGCATGCTGTTCTGTCGCCTTAAACATATATGCTCTTTCCTTCCTGCTATTGCATTGTTCTCCTTGCCAGTGGTCCTGGAGTGTCATGCTAGCAATCTGCCCAGAAAGTTCTCACCAGCCTTGCAAAGATTTCCAGGTCACCAACCGCCCAGCACAACTTCAGGCAGGCAGAAACTGGGGCAGACAGAAAGAAAATAATAAACTCCCAATCGAATGATTCACCTGCATACGTTGCTACCCCTGTCACTGTGCAGGTTTACAAGTCCATTTGATAAACAAGAGGTTTCCTGTGACCTGTTGCTCACTATCGACAACCTACCTGGAACTCTTCGTACGTCAGGTTTGGTATCACTTTTGGGTCGCCTCCAGAGTCGAACCTGTAGTTGTTGTCAGGGAACAGGGCTTGCATGGCGCGGCGACTGTGAGTCTGGTCAGGGGATGAGTAGACTCCCTTCATCTCGTTGAACACGACTCCTTTGTACGTCAGGGGATCCTGCCAAAGTCCAGAATGCAACATCATCAGTACAGCCAACATGGCTACGCAAGAAGCTCAATCAGCAGCATGCCAGGTGCTTCCGCTTTCGTTTCCTCAGAAAGGCCAAAATTTGGAATCAGAAAGAAAGAAGACGCTGAAAAAATGGCCAGCTGGGACACTGTGTTATTGCACCTGTTGGACGAGGCAGATCAGCACCCTTGCATATAGTCCATTCACCTGCTACAAGGCATTGTGGGAATGCACTGCATCTCAGGAGACAATCACACAGTTTCCAAGCAGAAGAGAGGATGAGGGCACTATTGACCATCCAGTTGTACATGAAATCATGGGTTGCAGGAAAACCAAGAGAAGTGGGAAAGGCTGCACTGGGGATATTGTCCCCAAATCTTCCAACCGTGAGACAAGGCTGGCTTTGTAACGCAAGCAACGTTAACATGCATTCTTCAAAGCCAACTTGAAGCCATGGGAGTACATGGAAGGTTGCTGCATGCTTTGCCGAGGACACGGGTTTGGGGACAACCTGATGCCAGGGTGCAGCCCACTGCTCCAGCGTACGTTGATCTGTGTTGAGCAATACACCTTATGCATTGAGTACCCTATGCATCACCTTTTTCTGCATGTAAAGGAGGATCGCAAGAGTTTGTGCCCATGGGGACGTTGCCCAGTAAGAAATGCTCTTCTTCCAAGAAAACAACCAAAATCATGTCACACCTCCTCCTTTTCTAGCTCGTAGTGCCACCCCTCCTGCTGAAACACCAATGGGTCCGTTATGCACCTTGGGAAGTACACGGCGTCCAGGTAGACGTCCACAAGGTTGTAGAAGTCCTGCAGGTTGCAGGAGGCCACAGGGTAGTAGGTGCGGTCGGGGGCAGTCATGGCGTTCAAGAAAGTAAAAAGGGACCCTTTGAGGAGCTCCACGAACGGCTCCTTCACAGGGTACTTCCGGGAGCCGCAGAGCACTGAGTGTTCCAGGATGTGGGGGATGCCGGTGGATGCGCTCACAGGTGTCCGGAAGATAACTGAAAACGTCTTGTTTTCGTCATCGTTGACCAATGACAACACTTCAGCACCTGGGTCATCAAAGTACGCGAAGTCAAAACGCTAAGCCCATGTGATTCAGTGCATAATGGGGGGACTGGGGCGTCACTTTTACCAGGCATTGTGAGTTTCCTGTTGACTGCTAGCACAACTTTTGCTGGCCACTGATCTGAACTCGATGGAGACAAATTGCCATGAACACAGTGTCGTTTTGCACAGCGCTGTGCTGCAATGGAGACATTCAGTACAGTGCATTATGAGCCTTTCAAGGGGTGGTCCTTCGGGCAATAATGTGGACTTCTTTGCTTCAGAACGTTTAGACAATGTTTGAGCAAGACCTCTTCGGTTGAGGCAAACTTCCCAGCACACTGGCTCCCCAATACTGATTGGCAAACACACTCATGTCAAGATGTGCCTGTCAATGGCGATGGACGCGAGTGCTGATGCACGGGGTGGATTCTGGATCAGGACGAAGCCGTTCGGGCCGAAACAGGGCGTGGAGCACCGCGCTGACTCAAATAGCAGGGGCACGCAACAGGCAAGGGATCCGGGTCATACAGTGGGCATTGCAATACATGCTCAGCGTCTGCACTCCGGCCCACGCCACGCAATATTGCAAAAGTCTCGAGAGGCAAGATTGGCATCCAGCAGCAACCAACACCCCTCAACAGGCCACGGCACACAAACACAGATGAAACACAGAGGCACAGGACTCCACAGGAGAAGATGCGGTCTGCGCGCGCCGCAGGGGCAACTCTGCACACGGGGCCGCAGCATTGCCGTGACTGCCGCGATTGAGAACGTGCGCCCGATCGACGCACCCGTCTTCTTGTGCCTGTACGTCAGCACCTGCGATGCGTACTCCTCGACGTACTCGTCGGACACCAGCTCGAAGCCGTGCGCCTCCTTCGGCGCCTGCGCGGCGGGCGCCCTCGCACCTGCGGGGGCCGGCGCCGACGCCGCGCTCATCGCTCGGAGTGTCGCCCTGCATGCCGCTGCCAAAGAACGGCCAAAGGCGTCCTTCAATTCACACCCAATCCCTTGCGCGGCGCTGATGCGGGAGATCAGAGATGGGGAAGGGGAGGTGCCCGTGCAGCGGGCGGGAGCGCCGCGGAAGACGCACCTCTGCATCGTGGCATGGGCCACCGCGGCCCGGAGCGACCGAGGTGGGCCCGGCGCGCGAGGCAGCCGGGCCGATGGATCTGCGAGAAGAAGCCACGACGCCGGGAGTCAAATCATCAATTCAGCCGGCGCGGGTCCGCGAGCCCGCTCGATCTTCGCGAAGCCTCCGGCCCTGCAGCGCGGAGTTTGGGTCGTCCCGCGGAGAACGGTCGGGGGATCCGGGCGCGGCCAGTGGATGCGATCCCCATTGAACGCACCGCAATTCTCGGAGAGCGCGCCGCATTGGCCAAGCTGGCCCTCGTCGCGACGGCCGCGGCGACCCTCCGCATCTCGAAAGCGAGTCACGGCAAAGGGGCGGGAAGGAGGCCAGAGACCGGGCCTGCGCGAGGCCCTCCAGAAAGGGAGTGTGGCGGGGGGCGGATGGGCTCGGAGCCCGTATTGGCCTTGTGGCCAATGATTCGGCAACTTCGTTTCACCACGCCCGGTGCGTGGGTGTGCGATCCGGCTCTCGCACGTGACCGCCACCACTCCCTTACCGCTCCTCTGGTGGTGTCACACAACCACCGCCCCAGCTATATGTGGAGTGTGTTCCCATCCAGGGGGGTGTTTAATACACTGCCATGGCCAACGAATGGGCATAATGAAGTAGAGCGTCGCTCGAATGAAATTTTGTTGCTGCAGTGCCCACCATTCGGCCGCCACAGTAACGGCTGGGCAGTGACAGATGCAAGCTGCTTCAAGTAATTCACGTGGAGTCCACCGATCGGTGGTCGCTGTGCAGCCCAGTCCTTCTCACGATCACGGCGTTAAAAAACAACGCTCACCGCCACAATCCACAAGGGATGCGATGTTCTCAATGATCAGAATCACCAATTTTCGACCTAAACATGTTCTTCTCGATTGCGCTCTCAACTCAAAGAAAATCTTGTCAAAAATTCAGAAATTGTCTTGGTGAATTCTTGTCCCAACTGCACTCTTTGAGGTCCATTGACTGTGCATCAGGCTTGGTCTTTACGGCGTAAGCACTTTTCTATTTGTGGCTATTTATGCGTAAAAATGGTTTTCACGTTTTTTCGCGCAAACAGCGGTCAAAATGCGTAAAACTGCGTAAAAATGAGTCCTTTCTACTTAAAGACAGTCCATAGCGACTCAGGGAGTCCGGGGAGCGACAGATAGACGCGCTGAAATGTGCAGAAATGACCTTTTTTTCACCATTGCCCACCATTGCCCACCATTGCCCACCATTGCCCCTGCCGAGGGCGATGCGGGCGAGGTGTTGGCAGTGCTGGAAGGGGCGGAGACCTGATCGTTAATCGGGACATCATCTTGTATTCTGGGAGTATCTACGAGCCGTAAATATGCGTGAAAATAACCCTTTTTACATTTTACGACTTTACGCGTAATAACCCAAAAGTAAAACGTAGACGCAAATGTAAAGACCAAAGCTGTTGTGTATCAACAGAAAATGGCGCCACACACCAGACAGCTTCAGCTCCACGTAAATGAAACGCTGGCCTCGATAGGGATCCCAATCGCCATTAGCTTCTTGTCCACTATCAACCAAAGATATGGCTGCAGCAATTGAAAACAAATTACAAGGAACAGCCCCTGCAGTTTGGCACATAAACTCTTTGGTGTGGCTTTATGTGGCACTAAAGCACTTTAGTGCCACATGTGCAGACTTGAAGAGAATTCGGTTACGCCAAAATTGTCAGTGCTGCGAGCCTGGCAGTTGGTTGTTGGTCCTTCGTACGATCAGCACGTCATCTACATTAATGTAGATTGACCCTCAATATTGAGGGCATGCTACTCGAATTCTTGGACAGGCTCCAAGGCTTCAGCGAACTCCTTGGTCGCTTCTCATATTCTCCTTGATTTAGAGGTGTTTTTCAAGAACAATGAGATTGTGTTAGAAATGAGGCTTCATTGCAGACCTCATGTTACAGCCCATCCCAGGCTGCAGGCAATCCTTCGAGAAATTCCGCCAATGTGTCTCCTGTGGCGTAGATAGTGCAGCCGCGTTATTCGCCATGTATCTGGTTCCTCTTTCGCCTCAGTCAGGCTCTCGCAACATCAGCTACGACTTGGCAACTATGGCAGCTAAGACAGCATGCAGCAAGACAGTAAAGGTCAACCAATGACAAGTACTTGCAACACTTGCAGGTCTTACCTACCACTCTTATGCCGTGAAAATCCTGTCCAATACAACAATAAGATTAATGAAAGTGGCCAACATAATGTGCTGGGAATCTGACCAAACGAATTCACATGCAGGATGCATGGACCTTGTAATGGCCCATTCAGCTTCCTAATTAAGCAGCAACGCCATGTGTCTCCACACAATCCACATCTTTTGGATGCATTGCATGATTTCCAGGATCCCCTTGCATGGATTCATTGGCGTGCAGTCAGTAGCGCATGGCAGCGTGAAGGAGAACCGCTTTTTGTGACACGCGACCGGCCGTGAGCTCATTAAACCTCTTATAAGTCATCGCATCCATATTTGTTTGCAGTTCTGTGTTTGCAGATGTTAGTGGGCATCTGCGATGAACCAGTCATTATTGGGAAGGTTGAAGCTTGTAATGACAAGTGCAATAGATTGGCGTCTTTCCCAATCGCAAAATTGTGTATTGCGCATGTTCATGCACAAAATGCGGCATTACATAATCCAGATAAACTGTGTAAACGTGCGCCACATGCCAGTGTGAGACGACCATTTGCTTGAGATATCATTGCTTTTTGAGAAAACACGATGGGCACCCCGCGCTCATCACAACATCTGCAGTATTTTTGGTTCTGGTTGCACACAAAGTCAAAATATCTGAAATTTTGTGTTCAATAGGGGGCGAACGGACGGATTGTCATTGGCAGCATTTAACGTCCTGTTCGTCGAGCACTGCATTCTCACCACTTTTGTGCGAAAGGGAATGCAAATTTGGCATACGCAAAAAAGGTTCTGCAAACAGTTGAAATCCACTCTTATGGTAACGACTGCTGGGCTTAATAGGAATTACAGAGCGCATACGAGTCCGAATCCAAAACACTAGGGGCTATGCCACGGAAGCAAAGCCAGTATTTTGTATCAGAGACATTCGACAGTTGTTTCGTCTAGTCTATGATTGCCCACTAGTCTTCATCACAGAGTAGGTGAAGCACCTGTCAACAATTCTCAGTCAAGATTTTCAAGCCAGCTGCCGCCAGGGTTACTGCTCACGTTGTTTTCTCCATCTCGTGCAAGATGCAAATGCTGTTCTTCTGCAAGGCATGAACCACGTGCTTGCCCGGTGCACAAGTTCCCTCGCTCGCGAAGACACTCGGAAAATTTACCCTCTTGTACGTACAGAGGGTGTGAAGGCATCCTATGCAACTGCGAAATGGAGGTAAAGCACCTTCGACCCGCCATCGGCTGCGTTGGTGGATATCGCACCAACACAAGGTAGATGTTGATGGAAGACAAAGCTCATTGCGAGCATTTGTCTGTGGGCATGAGCGAGACCCAACATCAGAGAACGGATGCACCAGTGGTGATTGCAAGCACCGTTTTGCCGTGTATCCAACAGATGCCCACACTGATCCGTGGAATTAGATCTGTGAGGAAGGGTGCTCTTGTGGGCATGCAGCCCGCATTGGGGTCGCGAAGAGGCTTCATGTCAAAGTTAAGCGCATCCTGATTCACAGTGTGTGAGCAACGCCAATGAATATGGTAGCACAAGCCCTGTGCCAAACGTTCCCTCAATTTCATTCGCACCCATTCGCCCTTATTCTCCTCGATGTTGGGGCCAAAGTGGCAGATTTCAAAATCCAGCGCACTTCTTCATCTCCGGGCCGCCACACTCCTCAACGCGAAAGCGACGACTTGCTATTTATGTGTCGTTTTCGACTGGGCCTCGTATTCAGGCACACTACGAACGCCGACTCCAGCCGACTCCAGCCCATCGACACCTGTCAATGGGACATTCCCATTGGGAATAACTTCACGAACCCCTGCAAACACTCCCACTGACGCTAACCAACCACTGCAACCACTGCAACCAACATCGCCAGCCGAACCTTTCAGACGCTCAGCGGGCGCCTCACATCAGCCCGAGTAAAGTACAGCCGGCAAAAGCTGTATGAGCAAATATGGCCCCAAGGGCCAGAACCCAAGTGGCAAACACCCAAGGGCGTCTGCTCGACCCGGCGCTGTGCGTTGCTTCAGCTCCGCCTTGTTTATCGACCTCCCTGACGCCGCCTTGGCCGTCCCCACAAATCGCGCAAGTGCTACCGGGTGAAAGTTGCCCCTCGCCATTGTCCACTGGCTCGCTCACGAGGTCGAAGCAGTCAAGCGCTGGGAACTTGAAGCCCTTCACTTTCTCCACGCACATCATGTACAGGGGTTGGGTTTCGTCCTTGCAGGTGCTGGCCACCATGCATGTGTACTTCACATGACTCACCGACCGCCCCAGGTCCATGTCGATTATAGTTTTGGGGACGTCAGCCACACACTTCACCTGGAAGGCGCAAAACAATGGACCTTGTGAGCCTTGAGGTCTCTGGATGAGATGCCAATCGATCAGAGTAAGGGAACCTATGTTGTTGGCAATGGCCTTGGTGGTGTTGTTTGTCAGCAACAGGCCAAGCCAGGGCAAGCCAGACGGAAAGGCTCCTCAACACAGGGCATCAGCATCAATCGCTCAGCTTGGCAAGAGATGGTTTGGCACAACAGCAATATCAGAATCAAGTGAGCACACACAGCAATGCCTTGAGCAGCATTGTTCCTGTTAATGTCTGAAATGGCGCATGACGCAGTCAGCTCATGATCACAAATTTGGGAAGCATGCACTGTGCAGCGACTGACAAGTGGTTACAAATACTGCCATTCTCGAGTGAAGGAGACATGGCCTGGTGCAACAGAGGTCGCAAAGCTGTGAAAGAACGTGCACAGTGCGAACGCATTCCAAGATTTGGCTAAGGCCACACCTGAGTGGCGAATGTGGTCTCATTGGGCCAGGGGGCAAAACATGCGCCCTTGATACCGGCACCTGGAACAGGAAAAAGCCAGTCTTGCCGAATCGTCTTGCTTGGCTGCGGGTTAACTATGAGGATGTCGCACATGGATCCGTTCCGATCCATAATGCTCTGTTGGATCTGGAAGCTCAGGGCATTGAAGATGCACTGGAGGCCATCCCATGCGATGACAAGGCCACAATTGGCATCCCTGCACCTTGGGAATATCAAATGGTGTGGAATTCCCGTGCACCTCGCTGTCAGCTGAAAATAGTTGCAGAAGTTGAAACTCTGATCATTGGTGTCCTTCCCGGTTTCACTGGCACACGACGTTTCCTGCCAGTATACCAGCTCGGAATTTTGCTCCCTGGCCCAGTCCTCCATCCATGCCTTAGTGGACACCTCTGGCGACCTTGGGAGCATTCCTGTTTCCAAGCATGACGTGATTTCTGCCCCCCATGAAACTTGTGGAAGTATGGCGAAGCAGATGACAACAGATGTCCACACTGGGGCCCAAAAAAACAACAACGATCTGAGCTGGCAATGCATCAGGCACTTTCGTTTGTCAATCTTCCAATATGACTGGCGGCCACCCTGCCCGTGCATCACATCATTTGCATCGAAATGTTGTACCGCCTGCAGCAGCACAGCAACTCGGGGTCTTGGCACATGAACTAAGATACGGTCAACCTGTTGGCACAGGCGAATGGGGATCGCATGTTCACAACGCAGTTGGCCATTTCAATCGCCACATGCTTGAAACAAACAAGCATTACGCGTTTGCATGCATCCAGCCCAGACAAGAGGGGAAAGGGGAAAGGAGTTTCATGTAGTTTAATGTTGTCACTGCACACTCCTAAGTGTTACAACGCCAACTCACAAACACTTTGTGTTTACCGAACGGAACCGCGCTTTACAACACGCCACCGCTGGCCGTCATTGCGAGCTCCATGCATCAGTTGCTACGGTTCCTGCACAGTGATTACGAAGCTATTCGCAACCTGTGATGGCAGCGCGCGTCCTGGACCTGTTGCCATGGCTCAAGCATGTGAAATACGCATGCGCCGTGTATGCAGCCAATGGATGCATGCAACAAAACTACATGAACGGCTCACGCGCGTCATGCCCCCGCATTGCCAGCGTCTACCCTCCGAGAGACTTCCAGCGCACAATGACCGACTATACACAACATTTCCGCAGCGCGCATCAGTGTTTGGAACCAGTCGTCACGGTCCATCGTTCCAGAACCAGCCCCACAGTGCCCACGCCCGCCTTCGCACCGCCAAAGCGTCAGAGACTCATGGCGGCTCCACGTCCACATGCCTCCCCATATCGTGCGCCCCCTGCATTCTCCCCAGCCACCACAGGAGCCGCACCAGAACCCCGGGGGCCAGTTCCGCAGACACTGTCTGCGTGGACCGCCATCCCCACAACTTCAGGCACGCACCTCGCGTTCCCCATTCGCGAAGATTCCTTACCGACGGAACCCAATGCGGCGCGACCCCGTCCGGCTCGGAGCACGCCGCCGAGCGCTGCAATCTCATGATACCCCGCTGCGACTGCAACGCATTCTGCGGGCATCAACGCAAATTCAAGGCGAAGTTCAATCCGACTCGCTCCACAGAACGCACCGCTTGCCAAGGCGCCGGCGCGCCACACGCTGCGGCTCAGGCTCGCGCAACAGGGGCGCAGCCGCGGATCTCCGTCGCCCCCTCCTCGAGGGGCCCACCAGCGCGCTCCCTGGCGACAGTACACCAGTGGCCGTCGGAGGAAACTGTGCCCAGCAGCGACGCTTGCTTCTGCACCAAGGGCGCTTTACTAAGGCCAAATGGCACCTGGGGCCCACCACCTTCACCCACTATTGTTACTAGAACTGATCGAGCATTATTAGCAGCTGGAGAGGTGACGAGGCATTAGTCAGTGTAGTAAGGACACTGATGAACGGACCGGATACAAGGGACAATACTTCCTGTTGTCCCTTGCCCCGCTGTAAACCATTGCCGTGTACTCGTGCCTGCGGCCCCCAGTAAGTGGTCGCTACCCCGCGACGCTGCCTGCCTTCGTCACCACTTCCTCAATGTACCCTCACGCTTCGCAAAATAAGGAATCAGGCACAAGGGAGGCAACGGCCACCGTCTGTCAGCAGGCCCCATGATCGCGAATTGGCTTGCAGGGCAGCCCCCACGCGTCACGCCCGGGCTCTCCCTGAGGCTCGCAGCGGTGCTCCGTCAAACACCAGCGCCCCTCCACGGTCTTCCGCAATGGGGCGGTGCGCCCTGCGCCACAGAAGGCGCCGCCCCGGCTGCCATGCATCACACCCGTGCGAGCCTTGCAAGCCAATTCGGCAATCCCAACCCTCCGGCTCACAATGGGAGCGCGTCATCCCACCGCTCCGTCGATTGGAACCGTCTGTCCAAGCGCTCCAGCTATCCCATGCGGCCGGGTTGGGTGGAGGATTATGTCGTACGAATGCAGTACACAGACAGGAGGGCATGGAGCCGGCGTCTGTGCGGATTGAGTTCTCACCCAAAGCGGCTCGGCCCGGGAGGGCCCAAGGCATCGACCGATAAAGTTGAAGGCCTCGCTTCCAAGTCGAAAATCGTCCCTCAAGTGGGTGGCGCGTCAGGCGTGGGCACACGGGGCGAGCGCTCCGGAATGGAAATGGAATGGTGCGGCGGCGGTCTCTGCGACGGTGGGCAAGGGGTTGCTTTATTCCGCGGCGCCTGGCAGGCGGCTACACGCAGCGTCGGGGCAAGAGACTGAATAGGGCCCGGTGGGGTCCCAGCCGGGGGCCCATCCTGACGCCACGCCTGTACAGGGCGCCGGCCACGTCCAAGGTGCCTTCTCACTTGGGCGCAAGCCGTACCGCCGTCCTGGCATGTTACACCGGGGTCCCTGTGCCGCTAGTGGTACCAGACGTCGATGTGAATGTGGGCGCGTTTGGCAGTGTTTGATGTAGCGAGATGCGGAGATGCGGTCTGAGTCACCCACGCACGGTGTCCGGCGATTTAATGCCGACGACAAAGAGATGCCTGACCGGGAATCGAATCGGGTTTCACTGGGTGGGCTGTCCAGCTGCTCTACCAAACCACCTGGACTAGGGGCAGGAAGAGGGTAGTCCAAACCCTTAAGTACCCTTCCAACCAACAGTCCGAACACCCGTTGGCAACAACTCCCATATCCTGGACATCGAACAAGATATGGGCGCCGTGTCCCGGGGTTGTGGCCATACCCTGGGGATGAGTCTCCCGGATACCCAACGTTTTGCCAACGCCCCCACTCCCCGGTTGGCTCGATTGAATGCAGAGACAGTGGATGACGCCCAATTCATGTCGCCTTGCAACGCCTTGAGTCTACTCACATGCGAGACCATTCAGGCAAAATTCTTCAACGCCAGTATATATGACGATCTGGCCACTACAGTTTTTTTTCTTTTTTTTTTCATCCCCAAGCAGTCACCAGCTGGAAGTCGCACGTCCCACATATCCTTTGGGGCCAATGAGCAATGAGCCCCAGGAACAATAGTAAAATATCGCATTCCTTGCCCACAACCAAACGTTCATTTGGCCGTCATAACCCAAAGCGTTTCTGCCGGAATGGCGTGCCGTATGGCGTCGCCGGAGTCTTCATGCCGGGCGTCACGATTGCGTTACCCTCAGCGCCCTTTGCCAAGTCGGACAGCTCCCGGGCCCGCTTCTCGCGCTCGTCCTTCTTCGCCCGCGCCTCCTCCATCTCCTGTGCCATGGACTCCTTGTGTTCGCGCTCTAGGCGACGCTGCTCGAGCCTCGACGTGTGGCTCACCTGGAGATTGAAAACAAACGTGTTGAGGAAACGATGGCATTCGAGCAAGGCGTACAGCTTCTCATTGCGCTGTGCGTCCCACAGCCATTTTCCTGCAGGAGCCTGCAAGACGCTGTCCAAATTGGGCCCGTGATGGAACCTTACTAGACACTTGACATGCAGTTGAAACACAAAGAAAAATGCGATCAGCACAGCGCTGGGGCACGTCACTACGTCATGCGTCATCGCCCAGGCCAGCAGCACAAATATGCATTCTGCCCATCCAGGGGATGCTGGATGAACTGCGTTGTGCCCTATTTGGGAACTATTTTCATATCACAATTCCATCGCAGGACAACATAGCAGGCTGACATGCATAATTACAGCAAGGCAATTTTGCAATGAAGTTCTGCTGCACTGCGGCCAAGAGGCATGTTGTGAGCATGCAAGAGAGAGCCCACTTCAAACACATGACAGCATGTACATGAGTTGCACTACACATGAAGGACATTAACAACGAAAAAAGTTGTGCCCATCATCGCCCTGCAGCCCACCACAGCACCGCAAGGGCAGGTTCCCTATCACATGTTGGCAACCGACCGCCAAGCAGACATTCACGACAGCAACACACCACCAAACTGCGAGCCTACCTTGATGCTGAAGAACATTGGCCCGAGCTCCGCAAGCCATTCAGGGTCCACGGCAGTCACGCACTGCATGTATTCCTTGGTCGTGTACACGAGCTCGTGGTACACAACATAGTCTGGGGTGTAGCCCAGCCCGTACAGCGAGCTGCTGGCATGCATGTAGCACGGGAGCCCGCTCCTGCAATTGACGTACTCTCCAATGCCTTTGAAGCGCGCTGCATTGTGGAAGTATGCGGCGCAAATGGCTTTTCGGACAACATCCCAATTACCTCCACACGAGGTTGTCTTGATCCTCTGGGACTCCATGATGTCGCACAGCTGGGTGCGCACCTCTTTGGCCTGCGCAAGGCGTCACAGCTCGTCATGCCCAGAACATCAGACTGCAGTTTTGAGCAAAGACAAGACATCAATAAAGATACGTCAAACTACTTGCAAGTACAGATTTTGGCAATGGCTTCAAACGCTGCAATCACTGGCTGAACGCATTTGCTGACGCACTGGGCCCTTGGCAAGCTGGAGTTGAAAAGGGGTTGCATTGTTGTGAAAGATGCCACTGGAAGCCACAAGACCATTGAATTGCCGTTGCAAAATTTTCACTCCCACTGGTTGTCAATTTATTCCTATCTGCACTAAACTCGATGTTCTTAGATCCTTCTCAGGCTCCCTGATCCTTCCCAGACCGAAACCAAATTCAGGCGACAGGAAGATGTGGCTGAGGACAACATAACCGTTGGAAAACTTCTGTCATGCATCACAGGATGCTGCATCATGTCTGCCTGGAAAGGAGCCTCACAAGCTCTCAAGGCGTGCTGGGCTCTGTGCGGCTTGCACAGTTTGCCTGTGAAACAGTACTGAAATACCAAAAACACCTCAATCCACAGCACAACATTGAATAATTCACACCACACTGAGCTCTACTGATATTCCACATATATTTATCTTCATAATTACGCAATGAATATATCTATCACGAAGGAAACCTAATATTGGACATCATCCTTGCAGGACACGATGCCAAGTCCACACTGGATATTCTGCTCATCAGTGCATGACGCAGAATAATATCGCGTGCAGGCACCTAGGTACAACACAAACAGGACAAACAACACAAGTGAGGGCAGGCCGACCCCAGACTCACCTTCTTCAGGCCCTTGGCATGGAGGAAATGCCGACTGCACCAGTCTGCACGGAACTTGTTTGCCTTCCACTGCTGGAACACATGCAGGAGTGTCAGGTGGTCACTCTCAGGCACAAAGAACTTCTCCCGGGCGGCGTCGCTCTCCTCTGCCCTGTCTGCTGGTCGGAAGAAGACACTGGGCACACTGAGCATGCTGACGATCGTCAGGACCTCCTCGCCGCACCCGAGGTCGGATCCGAAAAGCAGCAGCTTGGCCAGGGGTGGGTCCAGGGGGAACTCGACCATATGCCTGCCCAGCGTCGTCAGCTCGCCTGCAACACAAGCCTAATGAGTGACCTTGCTAGACTTCAAGGCGAGACACCATGGATAGTACAAGAACATGAGAGTATGTGAGGCTGCAAACAAATACAAAACAAAGGATGTAATAACTGAATTGCCCTGAAGGTTTCCCAATTCAAAGACAGGAAAGTACCATATATGCTTACTGTGTTCTATGCCAAAGATACAAAAAAAGAAGGTTGTTAGCCACAAAGATGCAGGTTCCTCTACACTTAGAACAGGGGTGCAGCCAGTGCATAGGGGTTGTGGGTGGTGCACAAACTGCTGGAATGTGAGACACTGAGGGATTTTATTTTCATTTGTGTACTCAGCTTCGACTTCAACATTCTGTGGTCCGCTCAAGGGATATCCAGAGTGAAAAGCACAGAAAGTGTTATGATGAAGCAATCCTGGTGGCCATTTGATTCATCATGGACCAATCTTACACCGAGCCAACATCGTGCAACAAAAGTTACTCACATATAGCCATGGTTGCTTTCCTGAGAATATTCAACAATTACGTAGAGCACAGGCACAGAAGAACGAAAAAACACTGAATAGGCACAGAACATGTCCCCATACACGGAGTGCTTGAGCACATAGGTACACAATTGCAGACTTTGAGGAGTAGCATCCATCATTCACCCAGTGGAGGCAAAAAGATCTGCTTTATTGATGCTGATGAACACGCAAAGCAAACCTTCACATACTGTGGCAATATAAAAGATGGACAAGCTCAAATTACTGCAAATGGGCACGAAACCTTTGAATTTTGCTTGGGTCCCTGCACCCCCTTTAGCTGTCCAAGGCAATGGGTGTCATCAACACTACAACAAATCCTCCTAGAGGAGCTTCGACACATCACTGCTTACTGCACTCAACCCAACTGTATGCCCACAGTGATACAACAATCAGCTAGGATGGCCTTCTCCTGTGAGCCCAGAGAGACACAATCATTGCTGGTGTTGGCACTCAACCAAGCAGACCAACAACAACAATCGTAAGTAGTCTGAAGACACCATCCAGAACAGAGCGCCCACCTGTATTGTCCAGCGCGCCTAGTATCCACAGCTGGTACATGGAGTTCAAGATGTTCTCTTGTGGAGGGGGGTCCATAAACTCGAACTCCAGCAGGTTGTCCACCTTCAGCGACTTCAGCAGCAGGATGACGTTCGCCAAGTTGGTCCTCTGGATCTCTGGCACAGAGGTCTCCAGCAACTCCGTCCTGAAAGCGGACTCAGTGTACAGCCTGTAGCATTCACCCGGTGCCGTCCTGCCTGCACGACCCCTGCGCTGGTTGGCGGCCGCTTGACTCACGGGGAACACCTGTGGAAAGGAAACACTTGGCTGTGAGTTGGCAGCGCACAGGTGCTATTACAGCTGGCTATAACAAGCAATCAGGACACCAGCCTGCATTCACCGGACGCCAACTTGCCAGGAGCATGATGGGCAGTGAACAATGCCAGAGTCGATTGGGATCAGCTGATGTTTTGCAGGTATGGGTGAAGCTGCTTAGACTCAGCTTGAAATCCGAAATATGTCACTTTTGGAGACTGAAAATACAGAGTCCACTGCTTATTTGCATCAGCAACATGAAGTGGATAGACGTGGAAGTCTGCCTTGATCCAGGGAATGGATGCTAACCCATGGATGGGGCTGGGAATTATGTGCCCACCTGGAGAGCGTCCATTCCCATCTTTGGGTTGTACACCTTGGTCTTTGCAAACCCTGTGTCAATGACATACAAAATGCCATCGACAGTCAAAGATGTCTCTGCAATGTTGGTGGCGATAATGCACTTCCGGACCCCATCTGGCGCTTTTTCGAAGATTTTCGCCTGGCATTGACAACAGCACACCATGTGAACATTTGCCAGCTCCAGAACCCCAAACAGAATAGAACGTTAGGTGTACGTGTATGCTCCATGTACAGCAGCTGCCATAGAGATCATTCAGTGGTCTTTGACAGCATCAGGAACAGCAACATAAAATTGTTATATACAGAAGGTCCAACAAAGAGAGATGCACTGGCCCAAGCTGCACAAAACGAATGCATTGCAGGAGCTGCGAATGTGACATTTAATGTGATGCGATGGTTTTGACCCAGCACCAGGCAATTCACCCAACCCTTGCGGCCATGTGCCACTCATGTAGTCCCTAACAGCACAATCAGACTGATAATTGACATGCACTTGATCTATGTTAGTACAAATGAAACATGCAGCCCACTGAATGCTTGGTTGTCACATTTGCCACAATACAGCACTGTTCTACTATCATGAAGTGCCATTTGTCGGCTCCAGCAACTGTGGGCTGCTGCACCAACACTCCAGATGCTGTTGCCACAGGGGCAGAGAACATAAACAATAATGCACCATTGATCTACGATCAATGATCCACTAACAATGAACAGTGACAAATGACCTGCTAACTTGAAACATATGCAATCAGCAAAAATAAACTTCTTGCAAACTGACCTGCAGATCGGCTGGCAGCTGTGAGTAGATCGGAAGGATCATCAGCGGCTTGTCCACCCCCTGCTGCTCCAAATGGTCCATCCTTTCCTGCAGGGCATAGCACGCAGTCTCGATTTCCTCCTGGCCCGTCAGGAACACCAGTATGTCCCCACCCTCAGATTTCAGGTGGCACGTCATGACTGTCTTCACTGCTGCCAGGACATAGTCCTCCTGTGGGGTCTTGCTCCACATCACCTCCACAGGGAAGGTGCGGCCTGGGATGTGGTAGCACGGCACACTTCCAAAGAAGTCTGCAAACTTCTGGGCATCCAAAGTTGCAGATGTGACGATCAGGCGGAAGTCACGCCGACGGGCGACTACCTGCAAGACGGTGTGTTCGTGGTGAATGCAGGAACTCTGACAAGTGGTGCCAAGGGGGGTGCAGACATGGATTGCAAAAATAACAGTGGCAGTGACAAGGAGGACATCGACACTTCTGCAGGTCCCAAAATCACAATCCCCTGCGCAGAACGGGTCACACCACTGCTGACCAAAACAAAGATTCCACATTTCCGAATTTGCCACAGTGGGCATTGCAATGCAGTGCTGCCAGACCTTCATGGGAACCTCCCCATGGCATGCATTTTGACAAGAGCATAGTCAAATACACTGCTGCCAGCCTAAAAATCATTTCAACGTTCATGGTGCAGCCTTCCCTTGCATTATACATTCTCAACATCGATGTCATGAGATTTTTACCAGCCTGCTATAAACCACCACCCACCTTCTTCAAAATACCAAACAAAACGTCCGTGTTCAGGGACCTCTCATGTGCCTCATCCATAATGATCGCTGAGTAGGAATCCAAGTCCTCTGCACTGAGTGTCTCCCTCAACAGCACGCCATCTGTCATGTATTTTATGATCGTCTTGGAACTTGTGCAGTCCTCAAAGCGAATTGCATAGCCCACCTCCTCTCCCAGCTCCACACCCATCTCCTCACTGACTCGCTTGGCCACGCTCATTGCTGCCACACGTCTGGGCTGGGTGCATCCGATGTTGCCCCAGTTTGAATACCCCTCCTCGTGCAGGTACTGGGTCATCTGTGTGGTCTTGCCTGAGCCCGTTTCGCCAACAACGATAACAACCTGGTTCTCACGAACGACCTGGTGAAAACCACAACAAATGACAGTCCATTGAATGAATGGAGAATGCTGAGACGGTGAAGTGGCCACAGGAAGCAATGAACTGGAGCAACTGAGTGTATTCTGAAATGCATGGAGCGATTTCTTGAGGATCTTACAGGCTGAAGTCAGATTTGAAAACACTCTGACATCTGATCGCATGATCTGCGGGTGGCTTGCGATCTAATTTTTAAACTTCAGATCTCTGGAGACATTTTAGTGCATTGTCCTCTTACTGGACAGCAGCAGTTCTTTGAGATATTTGGTGGGAACCTGAGAATTTCGTTGCAAACACTTCCTATTGCATTGCACGTTGTTGTACAACATCTGAAACTGTCAAATAGGGCCAAGGACAACACTTGGTCATGCTTCTTTGCAGATGAAGCAACCAAGAATGTCATAGACAACCTGCACAACTTGTGCCAATCCAGTCTTCCACTCGCTGACAGCCTATCATAGTCCCATGTTCATTTGCTACACGCAGTGCGACTTCCACCAAAGCAACATTCACTGCCGCTGCAGCAAAGGAACGGGAATCTGACTGAAGCCTGGCGCTCCAAGACATATCCATATTTCGATGTCAGCAGATATCACAACACAAAGTCACACAGACTTCCACCCCAGGAGCTCTCCATGAATGTCTAGACATTCCAATATTGAAGAAGGCATCACAGCAGTCACCAGTCAGCCTTAATTTGGAGCGGTGCCTGTCCCTACCTGCATGAGCTCGTCCCTGACCTGGAAGACTGGAAGGCTCCGCCTCTGTTGTGCAATGGTCTTGGACTTGCTGAACTCACTCGCAGCTTCCGACGCCTTCAGGTGGTCCTTGAAGCGATTCGTTGCCTTCACATTGCCATCTTCGTCCACATCATCTTCCACCCCCATGGCTTCTTGCTGCAGGAGAAAACAGACAACAGCAGATAAGTTAGTCAATGCAAATTCACTGCACAGCTCCAAAGTGCCTCGCAAAGGCTGCCCTTTCCAGGCAGATGCACTGAAATGCTGACCTGGTGGGGATTGCATTCCTTCATCTCATTAGCAACATCAGAGCACCTGACAACAGTGCACGCACCTGATCAGCTGTTCTCGGATTCACACGAGTCCGGCAATGCAGATTCTGCCGCTATTATCCTGTATTGCTAAGCGGCATGGTGTGTTTATTGGGCTGGAGTACATGTTGGGCAATGCGTGCCCACATATCCACCTCCTGCCCATCATCACCAGTGAAAATGTGCCCAATAATGGCCACTGTGCCTCGCGGCAATGTCAGTAACTTTTGTCTGCAGTTTACATCATCACATCTCCCATACTGTGTTCCCCTCACGTGGCTCCACCAACACTTGCTCCGACTTGGAGACACAGCTCTGAGAACGCCATAGTTGGTTTTCCTCCCTCCCCTCCAATCTTCATGCTTTGCATCTTCCATGTTTGCGCAGATGACAGTTGGCCCGTCGAGGGATTGGAATTCTACTTTGTGGTCTTATCAGAAGACAAACTAGCACAGGACAGAGGCGAAGTGGTCTCCACAGTTGACAGCCCCTGCAGGTAATGCCAGACAACAACTACCAGCACTGGCCACTACCTTTCGAGTTCTGGTTCTTTTGATTCTCCAATAAGAATTGTTCTGGGATTGAGAATTGAATGAAACAACCAGCCCCCATCAGCCTGCACCGAGGCCTACCTGTTCCTCCTTCGCCTTCTCTGCCTCCTCCTTCTCCTTGTCTGTCAGGCCAGTGATGGCACCCATCTTGGATCCGGCGACCTCCCAGAACCTCTGCCGGAACTTGTTCTTTTCCTTCTTCTCTCGTGTCTCCTTCACGAGCTGGGAGCCCGTGCGGGCGATCACAGCCATGTCAGAGGTCGAGTCCTTGAGGGGAAGGACAGGCCCTGTCTGCTTGCTGTACACCATCTTGCCGGTCAGGAAGGGTGGCTTGGTGTCGTGGACCAGTAGAATTACGCGCTCGTCATCATCGTTGTCAAAGTCCAGGTTCACCTGTCCAGCAACGGCGTTCAACATTTGCAGCTGGCCATCTGAGATCACAGGCTTTTGTAGCACTTAGTGCACCTCACTACTGCAAAGTAAAGTGCCACATGATACCAGAGCAAAACGGCCATAATGCTCAAACACTGTCAGCACGAACAGAGAGCAAGAACAGCAGTGTTGTTCAGAAGATGATCACTTGAATGCATGCTCAACAGAAAGAGTCAACCGAACAAAAGGTTCTTCTCTCACAGCATGTCTGCAGCTGGATCGGGCACCACCTGAGGTTAAAGGAAAGAAAAAAAAAGTGCTTGCCAAACATCGTGGCCCAACCGATCAACCCATGGATGGACGATGGCCGATTCTGATGTGTTAGTTACACAACCCTTCTCCACACTTATCTCTTCCACAATAAAGCTGCTGCACAATCCATCTGTGTCAGAGAGGACAAGTTGCCCAAAGATCGGGCGTGACCAATGAGCAGACTGTTTCCTTTGACAGCAACTTCACAGTCGAACCTCTTACCTCCTTGTACCTGGCAACACCGCTCGTGACAAGGCGGTTTTCTTCCCATTTGTTGATGTCCTTTTCGAGTTCACCAGCACGTTTGCTTTGCGCAAGGGACATCTGGGTGCCATCACGCCTCATGAAGCGCTGCTGCATTTCAGACTCGCGTTTCTCATAAAACTTCTGGTCCCCTGTGTTCAATAACAGTGGCAGGGTCAGTTGCCAGGCCAGCAATGGCCCTTGTTGCACAACCAGTTTCACCTGCCCACGGTCCCACAACAACCCAAACTTTGACACATTTTGTGAGACAGCCCCAAAAGGACAATACTCTACCCTCACAGGCACAATTCTGCTGCCCAAATGTGATCTTCAAAAAAGTGAATCCTTGCTTTAATTCACTCCGCACTGCTAGAGTGTATCACTGCAGCAGGGTATACAGATTTCGTTACCAAAAGACAGCAGTCTTGGACACCAGTCATTTGCAGCTAACCTACCGATAAATGGGTTGTGCTGATCGTCCACGCCACCACCAAATTCCTCCTGGTCATACCAGTCCCTGTCAAACTGGATCTGTTCAGACTCAAATTCTCGCTGGAGTTTCTCCATGAGCTCATCATCCTGGTGCAATGGAAGTGGCACAGTGTCAGCAATCTGAGAACAATACCTGGCAGAAAGTTGCAGTTTTCTTTAAACCCTTTCAAGCCCTTCAGTCCAAGGGTAGTTCACAAAATAGCCCACAAAAACCCAGCTCAGCAGTTACCACACACTTTCTTCCAAAACAGCAAACGATAAGAGGAGACAAAAAAGGCAAAACTAACCAAGTACAAACCATACCACCACCATCATGCGCAGCTTGCGATTTCCAACACTTTGATCGAGAAAAAGGATTAGAAACGAGCAATGTTCGAAGATTTCAACCATGCCATTCAGATATGTGATTACCACTGGTGTTCCATCATCAGTTTCAATTTGCATAGTCGAGTGGTTGAGCTGTGGCGTTTGTCCAGATTTTGTCTTTGAAGCCGAAGACCTCACTGAAGGCTGTACCACACTCGCACCACTCCTGTCAAATCTAACGCGGCTGTGCCCAATGGAAGAGGTAATGGAAGCACCTGTGCATCAGATAGAACAAGCAACAGATGTCCAATTTGTTGGCATCCAAGCAAGTATCCAGTTTATTGGCGTGACATATGGATGGAAGCTTCTTCAGCAATGAAACAGGCTCAAATGCGCACAGGACCCTGATCCTAAGTCTCTTCAAATCAAGATGATCAAGCACTGGGGTTGTGGGCACCCAAGCATTGATGAAATTGCACTGTCATTCCCGGCACAATGCTGGACAAACAGTTATCGATTCGTCGAAAGCTCAACTGCCAATTATGTCTCCATCAAATCGCAGCACGCAGACTTCCACTTGAGCCCAGGACTGAATGGAACAAACGCAGCATACTGGAGATCTGTCTTGTGCCAGCACAAAGCCAGACAAGCATACACCTAATGCCCAAAAGACCTGACTGCACCACACTGCTTGGTGACCACACCTGTATGGCATGTCAGTGCTATGTTCTGAGAGATTGTTGCTGAAAGGCAGAAGCTGTCTAAGCACATTCCCAGGTGGCTGCAAAGATTGGACATGCGCACAGTAGACGCCATTGTCTTACCCATGCTCTGAACGTGTCAGTAACGTGGGGACCCCCATCCATCCAAAGGCACACTTCTATCCACACTCTATCTCAAACGCCACTAAGGAGGTGGCCTTACCTTTGCCAGTGCCAGGTCTGGCTGGGCTGGGGCCTGGTGTGTGCACAGAACCCCATCCTGAGGCCGATGAGCTCTTCCAAGCTGGCCTTGATGACCCACGATCCGAGTGCCTTGAGTTCCGCAATGGTGTCATTTCCCACTCAGCCTCCCTACATCGCAACCACATATTAACTGCTCAATAGCCATCTCATGGATGTCATATTTCCTAGCACCACATTATGGGTCAGCAGAGATGCACATGGGTGTGAAAAAGAATCTTTCTTTACAAGACGCCAATTTCTGTGAACATAACATCTTCAGTGTGCCATTATTGTGAGCACACTACTGAGCAACTGTGTGCAAGCCCCACATCATCTGAGCAAGCGCACACCTGCCTCTGGTCAGCTACTCACCTGGTGAACAACGACCATCCTTGGGCAATGCAAAACACAAGGGCAGCAGCGAGCCACCAGGCTAAAATCTACATTCACTGCAATGATCAAAACATGACAATGTGCTGCCCTTTCACGAATAGGTGTTGCCATGCATAGTTCACAAACAGAACTGATGACTGCCAATCAGCCGTTTTCTTTTCCACACCCCACCAAACAGCCCATATCCACTACCTGCAGCACAGAATTGTCCCCAACCAGCATGCATCATTGATTGAAACGTCCAAGCACAGCATTCCAATGATACATCATTAACACAGTCATTTTGCCCCAGCGCCTTTTCATGCTTCTGCCTTGGGGCCTGCCAGCTACCAAGAGGACTGGGTGAGCAATAGGCTGTCCGCAGTCCCACCTGTCTCTGTCGCTCCTCTCTGTCCTATGCTCCCTGGACATGCTGGAATCTCGACGTCCGTCTCTGCGCCCTCCCACCCTCTCGGACTGCCTTCGCCGTTCCCAGCTACCGTCTCTGCGTCTGTCGTGGGACCGTTCCCCAAAAGGGGACCTGTCACGCTTTGGGGTGGATGCATAATAGTGGCCATCCCCTCGCAGCCTCTCCTTTCGCCTCTGACCCCTCTCTGCAATGGCCTCCAAAGCATCCTTGCTCACTCCCCCTGTGGAATCAAACACTCGAGCACGTCAGAGTGCGAGGCTGCTGCTTCCGGCAGATTTTTGTTCCCACATAAGCAATAGAACAAAGTCCAGGCAGTGCTAAGGCAGTGGTATGTGACACATGTGTGTCCCTCAGCATCATATGAGCATCATCTAATTCAACGCCTTGAGCTATGTCTGCAAGTCATTCTCTTCCACTTGGACAACAACTAGCCATTCTGGATCTATTCATCGCCAGCGACTGCACTGGACACAAAACTGGCACTGGTGATTATATCTATCACCACACAAAGATTTTATCCCATTTTGAAGAATTCACGACAAGCACGTTGGTGGATAGTTTGTTAGGGAGACTGTGAAAAGGGGAGCTGGCAGGCCCTGATGCAGCCTCCGCTGCGCAGCTTGTTGGCATTCGTTGGGCAGTAATACCTTTTGTTGTCAGCACCCTGCACATTGCAAACCCTGGGGGCGTTTGTCACGATGAGCGCTACCCATTGTTGTATGCTTCTCATGTGTTTGCAGGTTCTACAACCTCTTGCCAGCATGTCTCAAACACACCTGTTTTGTCTCCGTACCATTGAGTCTCAAACACGTGTGTTCAGGAGAGGCTACATAATATATGGCCTGTTTGTATTTTTCCCTTTGTACAGAACTTCTGGGGAAAAGAGATCCAGCACCCGGTAGCAAGCTGCTGATTTGACAGTGCTAGGGATTCCGTTAATCCCTAGCTGCGCACTTGCAACAATCCGCACCTCTGCCTCCCGCAACGACCAACCCCCCAAGACGCCGAAGTCTTCCCCCGGACTGCCCAGCGCCCTTCACCGACAAAATCGCCCCACAGCTGGCAGATCCGCCAGCACAGCAATTCCCCAAGGCTACGGGCAACGCGCAGCGGCTTTCGCCAATACACCATTCGCGGGTGGCTGTGCGCGCCTCACCTGGGCGGGACGGCGTAGCGACGTTCCTCTCCCTGTAGTGCCTCGGCCCGGCCTTGGGGACCTTGAAGCCGTCCTTGTCCACCTCCGCCGGCGTCTCGTCGAAGTGCAGGCGAGGCCGCTTGGCTACAAACAAGGTTTCCGCCGCCCTTCAGGAGAGCCAACCGCAGAGGGCCGGGCCAATCCGACGGCACAAGACGACGAGATTCCAGCCCAAGGGGCTGGAAAATCGGAAAACCTTGCGCCTAGTGCGGGAGCGGCGTTGGCGCGTCTGGGCGGGCGAAGCCCGAGGAGTTGGGCGGGTTGGGGGCGTGTTCACTTCAATCTAGAAATCGCCGGTGCGCCCAATGTTGAGACCCACCTGCCCTCTCGGCCTCCGCCCTCTCTTCGCGCTTCTCCCTGGCGAGCTGATCAAGCCCTGCAACAGCGCAAAGGGCGCCGTCAGCGGCTGCTTTCAGGTGTCCCCACCGACACCCACGCGCAGAAGACGTTCGCGCAGATGCTGCACGCGGCGGTGCGATATCAAAATCGAAGCTGATGGCGCAAGGGCGGCGGCCACGCGACACCCACCCAGCTTTGAGCCCGCTGGTGCCTGGAAGACGTGTCGGCTGGCGCCGCTCCGGCAGAGGAGGCCGCCCCTGGGCTCCTCCCCCTTCGCCGCGTCTTCGCCCATGTGGAAATGCGGGAAAGGGCGGTTTCAAGGGGGGTGGGCATTGCTTCCTTACTGTAGTCCGATACAGACAACCCCTACGGAGACGGTGACGGAGACGGAGACGGTTTAGTATTGGGAGGTTGGGTGTTGGGTTTCTTGGGGATGGGATTTAGGATTTAGGGTATCATGTATGCATAGGGACTCCGCATGCGTGGTATGCATCGGGATTAGTCTCAATCCCTTGGGGGCGGCAGCGCGGCGTTGATTGGAGAATCACGTTGACAGCATTCAGTCAGTGGTATATGGTCCTGTTGCGGAAAGTCGAGCAAAAAAAGTCGTACAAGGTAGAAGCGGCGTTGGTCTGCAACATTTCTTGAAATGAAAGTCGCAGGCTCGCAATCCTCAAAATGGCGATGTTATGCATCAATGGAGTGCGGAGCTCACGGCTACCTCTTCGCCTATGTACAACTGACCTTGATTGCCTGCTGTCCTTCAGGTAGGAGGGTCATGCTTGCCTAATCTAAAACACACTGTGTAGAGATGGCGGCCCGTTCCGTCACCTTGTCCATGGCTGTGCATGGCTCGGAAACCTGGACAGAATTTAAGCAAGCAGTCATCGACCCAGCATGCGTTCAACTATTTTGCGAATTGGACGTTTCTGCTTTAGCAGTGGCGGCCCTGGATACAACGAGGTCGTTGATGCGTGGGTGTCTTCGTCGGAATCAACATTTTCCTTTGCGGGCCCGGAAACAAAAAGGCAAACAGGTTCCAAAATCTCCCACAGCAGCAGCAATGCTTCAATGGGGCAACAGAGCAACAAAACAATGTGTGACACCTGCGCCTGCCCAATGGCGTTCTCCGCCATCCGATGCCCCTGGGGAGCTGTTGGGCGAGGCTTCCCAGGCCAACAACCAAGCCCAAAGTCGCACAGCGCCCGCTGGTGCTTCGCCGCACAATCGCCGCGCCAGGCCAGCGAGCCGGCCCGATCCCTGCGGCCATCCAATTCTCCCAGACATTTATGGCCCAAGGGGGCCCAGCTTACTGTGCCCGACCACCGCAACCGCATCCGCGCGCCATCTTTGGCGCCCCTCAGGAAGATATGCCGCTGGCGAGTGGCGAGCCGCTCTCTCGGGGTAGTCATCGCCTGGGGGGCGGTGCGGACACAGTCACCCGAGAACTTCTCGGATGCTTCACATGCCGCAAGCCGTCCGCCATCGGGGACCCTCCCGTACTGTGGGCTCCCGCAGTACGGCGCTGACTGGCGCCCACGTGTCCTCAGAAGCGCCCGCGGCGGCTCCAGTTGAAAGTTCCCAGTAGTGGCGCCGTGAGAAACTGTAGCGAGGGCGGGGCGCCCTGTGGTGCGGTGGTCCCAATCCGCAGGGCCGCGACTGGCCGCGCCTTGGGAGGCACAGCTGGCGTACTCGATCGTCTGGAGCGGGCCCACAGGCGCGCCAGCGGCGGGCCATCGAAACACAACCGCGAGAAACGGCTCGCAAGAAACAGGCACTGACCCCCGTGGACTCCCACCGGAGTGGGCACCGCAAAGATGGGCCTGAGATCGCTGCTGAAGCGCAAGAAGAAGACCAAGGGGGGCGCGACGGTGTCCGAGGACGACGTCTACCTGTCGGACGCCTCCAGCGCTGATGAGGCGAAGCCGGCGAACCACAACGGCGGGACAGCCGAGGCCGAGAGGCTGGAGCCCGTCCGGGAGGACGCGGTACCGGACGCGGACATCCCGCCCGGTGTTCCGGACGGCCCAGCGAAGGTCGCCGAGGGCGGCGTGGCGGCGATGGGCGGAGATTCGGTCGACGTCTCGGCGCCCGGGGCGCCCGCGGCGCCCGCGGCACCCGCGAGGGCAACGATCACCCCGCCGGAGGTGAAGAATTCAAGGGATGGAGCGGAGGCGGGTGACAAGGGCGGTGACGCGGCGGGAGCCGGACCCGCCCCCGCCCAGGAAAAGGCCAAGGTGGATCCGCCAGCCATGGTCGTGGATGCCCTGCACGTGCTCTACGCCGCTGGCGCCGTGTACCTGCTATTCGTCTTGGGCGTCGTCGCGTTCTTCGGCGTTGGCGTGTGGGAGACCGTCTTCTACACGCTGCTGGCCACACCCCTGGGCCTGGGATACAGCTGGATCCGGGAGGAGAATAAGAGGCGGAAGGAGGAGTTCGCTCAGATGGTGGGTGGGAGAGCCCATGCCGGCTGCTTGTTGCGCGATTGCATGGGCGTGTTTTGTGTCGTGGCAGCCATTATTTCCTTGTTTGTTGCTCAGATCTGTCCCTCAGCTCGGCTGCAACGTCGTTGTGAGAACATGGTGTCGTCTTGACATGGGTATTGTAGTTGGGGACGCATTCGCTGGGACAGTGGTATCTGTGCCAAGGGCCGTTTCTTGTGCAATTCCTGTCCATCAGCTCCACTCCACCTGCGATCAACCCCACCTTGGCGATGGGTCATCTGCCGGTTTGCCCTTGCGGGGTCCGTGCAGGGGGCCACGAAGTTCCGGCGACAAACTATCTTCATCTCTGACGCGACGCTATTTGTTGTGGCATGGCGCAGTTGAGGTGCACACCAGGAACCAAGGGCCTGGCTACTATGTTGGGCCAGCAGCCGACGTGGCTGCAGTACACGGACAAGGAGAAAGTGGTCGTGAGTGTTCCCTTCACGCTGCGGTTCTAAGAGCGTTCCTGGGATACTTTTCAGTTGTTGTTCTTCTCCCCTGTTCTTGCACCATTTCACTCTTTCATGTGAGGCAGGCCACTGATGTGGGTTCTATGAATGAACTGGACCGTGTTTTCCCAACATTCAGGGTGGGTTGGCGTGGCTTGCTACTGTCTACAGTGTGTTTTTGTGTGTGTGTGGGTGGGTGGGTGGTGGTGGGGGGAGGGACCCTTTGCTATGCTCAATAGATCGCATCTCATGTTCGTGCTGTAAACACATTGTGGAAAAGTACCACACGTGGCCACAGTTGTAAACTGTCTTCTGCTGCACACATGGATGGACACCTCATACATTTATCAGCACAATGCTGTGGCGATGAAGTTAGCAAGGATGGCTTCTGTGGTCCTGTGCCGAGGGGGTACTGTGTGATGTCAAATACCGTGACAAATCGCACCCAGGGACCTGCAGTGCTATATCCATTTGATGATCAGGTGCTGATCTTTGACGTCAAATCCTGTTTTCTGCTGCAGTTTCTCAACAAATTTCTGGAGCAGGCATGGCCCTTTTATGACAAAGCAGTCTGCACAACTATCAAGGTGAGACAGGTCCCAGACTTTGGAGGCATATTTCAGCATCCATTCTTGAACATGCACAGCGGTGGTATGAGGCTTGAGGTTCCCAAATTGTACATTGTTCTCTTGTGGTTGTTCTTTTCGTGGAGTCAATTGCAGTGAGGGCGATCATAATGGCCTCATACCCTTCCCTTGGAAATGGCACTTATGTCTTGTGCATATCCTTCTGTGAATTGACAATGAACAGGATTGGATCAAAATGTGTTGAAAGGATGTGGTGGTTTGTGACCTGATGAACTGTGCTGCTCTCTTCACAGGAAGTCGTGGAGCCCATCATGAATGATTTCAAGCCAGTTGGATTCAACAGAATTGGATTCAAGAGCATCACATTTGGGGATGTGCCAATACGAATTGAAGGTGGTGCAATGCTTGCATTGTCATGTAAACAACTTGTGCTGTGCTTGTCATGGTAATGCATTTGGTGATGTTGTGCTACTGTTGTACCATTGTGCTGTAGTGGACAGTTGTGACGATTGGCCATTTTGGCAGACAGGTTCAGCTAGCTGGGAGTAGTGTCATCCAGGCAAACCCATGCCTGAAAGAGCCTTTTATAGGCTTGCACGCATTCCACAAAAAGTTCTACAATTTTGGTGCGAAGTGAGCACACAACCTAGCACTTTTGTGTACATAGTACTTTGCCATCGCTGGTGACAGCAGCCAGGGTGGTCGCTCCCTCGTGTTGCATATGTACACCACAATTCAGGAATAACGTGTCACATCAAGTGCATGACAAAGACAAGTCAAATGTGCTTGTTTGCACATGGCCATCAACCAGTTGCACAGTGTTAAGGACGTCTTGTTCAAGTGACTTCTTTGCAGTGCTTGCTGCTTTGATTTGTGCTGCTCCCACAATGTGGTCACAAAGCACACACTGCTTGCTGCATGAGGAAAGGAATCCATTGCAACAGCAACAGTACTCATTGTAGACTGTTCGTTCCCCCTTCTTCCATTTTCTGTTCACTTTCTTCTTTTAGTGTTTGCAGCCTGCAATGTTGTCACCCGTGATGCACAAATATCCTAGCTTGGAAATCACTTTTGACCCGAATGGGTGCACACTGCCCTTTTCATTTACAGGTGGCTTGCAATGCACCTTCGTGTCACAGCTCGCACCTCACAACGTGAATAATGCTCACTGCCATCCTGCACAGTGCTTGGGAAATGTTCTGTTGCATGGCAAGTTCACATACACAGGCATTCATCTCAGGATCTCCAACAAGAGCCCTTGTTGGAGTGTAAGCAGTGTGTGGTGAAAATGCCCCAGTGCTTGTCACCTCATTGCTGAACCACTTAGCACAAGAATAACTGGCAAGTGCACCTATAGCCGTGCACAATATCTATCAATTAAACATGAACAGGCTGTCTGTGTTGCACCCTAGCAGAATGTACTTCCCATCCACTGAGTGTCAACAACAGATCCAGGAAATTCGAAGCAATGAAAAGCAATCCCCTTATCAGTTTGTGGGACATATGCGAGTATGTCATTCGCAACCCCTACTGTGTTCTGCACAGGTGTCCGCGTTGACACGACAGAGGGCGACGATCGATCCATAATCATGGACCTCGATGTCCGCTGGTGTGGCGATGCGAGCATCGTGCTGGCTATTGAACTCACAGGGTAAGGGCAACTGTCGCTGCCACTGGCCTGCTTGCAGTTTGTGGGCTCATTTTATCTTACCACAAATCGCTAACTTGAGCGCGAAAAGAAAGGTTTTCTGCAAACAGGACTTGCAGCACCATGGCCTGATGGACCCAAAACTGATAGGGAATCTGCACCAGGACAGACTCAGATATGTGGTGTGGCCTGTGGCCTGCCCATATTTGTTGGGTTTGATGAACTGTCTATGCAAAACACAGGTGAACCGGTCGTCCTTTTGGGGCTCCAACCCTGAGCAAGATGGTTTGTGAGACTCTCGACGTGGAGGGATGATACAGCGGTTGTAACACGAACGAATGTGCCCACCGCCACAGAAATGTGAAATGCAATGCTCTTGTCATGGCACCTGCGATTCGCTGTGTTGAAGAGTGCTATGCAACTGCACCAAACACAGGAATAGCACGAATGGCAAGAAAATGCCAGGGGGTTGGATGCGGCCAGTCGAAGGGTTTAGTGCCTGACGACCTTACCACCACTGACACCTGCTCTCTCTGGCTCCCAGAGAGGCCACCCGTATGGCACCAAAGATCACGGATATCCAGCTGGTGGGCGGGATCCGCGTGGTCATGAAACCCTTGGTTGACGTTATCCCCGGCTTTGGAGCAGTTGTGGTCACAGCCCTGCGCCCGCCCAGCATTAAGTTCAACCTCGACTTTGGCAAGGCCCTTGGCGGCAGCATGGCGGGCAGCCCTGTGAAGACCCTCATCAACGGCTTCCTCAAGGACACTCTGGCCAACATGTTGGTGTGGCCCCAGAGGATGGTGGTGCCAATACTGGACGAGGCAGTCACGGGCCCCCTGGACCACCTGCAGCTGCACAGTGTAGGCCTGCTGCTGGTGACAGTGGTGGAGGCGGAGGGGCTACCCAAGGCGGACACATTTGGCTCGTCCGACCCACAGGTGAGTGTGGGCTCCCAGAATCCAATCAGTGCTGTGGTCTTTTTAGCTGTTGATGTGCCCTGAACCCCAATGCTAAACTATGGGGACAACTGCAGGTTTGGCGAGAAGACTACGGCGTCGATGCATTGACTATCTTACTACCTGGACTGCTTCCTAACTGTGGAACTCGTCACACCTGCATCCTACAAGTTTAAATCTCACAAAGCTGGGATTCTCAGCTCTGCTCCTGGCTTAAATATTTGAACTGCAAAGCCAGAAGACACAGGGAGTGGATGTAAGACCAGATTCTGGGCCTGAGGGCTCAAACAGTAAAACTACCTGGACCTCAACCCAGCCATCCAAGGGAACTGCTGCCACCCATGTCCATACAGTTTATGAGTATTTGGGCCAGGTGTCGAGGCTGTGACAGACACAGCGCTTCGACGCATTCAGGCCCTCTTGGGCAACAATGTCATTGCTGCAGAGCGCCTGGCCCTTAGCAGGTTGAGAAGTTGGTTGTGCAGGGAGCCCTGAGCCAAGGGCAGTGTCCGAAACGGTGAGAAGAAGGTATGCTGATAGTGCGCTGCTGTTGTGGAGGTTGACATGTTCACAGAGACGCACCGCCACGCGGTCACCACAGTCAAGAAGAACACCCTGAACCCCAAGTGGGGCGAGGAGTTCTACATGTTGGTCCAGGAGCCTACTTCGCAGAATCTCATGGTGCTCGTCAACGACATTGACGCAGTCAACGTCAGCCTGAAGCTGAACGTGGTGAAGAGTGCAAAGGAGGCTTTAGGGGCCAAGACGCCGCTCGGCAGGTACCACTCTTTTTGTTTCCCAGACTGTCACTTTCCATTCATGTGTTGTGCATAGTTGCTAGCGCAAAGTGCTAAGAAAGCGCCAACGGCGAGGTTGCGCTGCCCGGGGCCGTCACAAGGGCTTGGTGCCCTTGTGGCACCGCCGTTCTGCTGGGTGCTGCGCTGCTTGCTCATCTCTGTCGCCGATGCGTTGAGCAGAATCACCCGTGCGACAGACATGTGTGGAAATACGCAATCTGGGGCGACGACTCTGACGGACGTCACCGCGTAGACACGGTGTTCCTGTCCCAGACTGCGCCAGTCCTCGGCGAACTCGCCTTTCTCCTTGTCAACCCGTGCAGCCCCTGCACTTCCCATCCTCCACCTTTTGGCACGAGCCGCGGCGGCGGACCCTGACCGCCCCCGCCGGCGCCTTCCTTTGTCGCTCCAGGGCCGTCGTTCCCCTGAGCGTGGCCACAGAGCGCGAGGGCCGTACCGTGGAGCGCACCTTCGACCTGGGCCCCAATGACTTCTCGGACACGCACGGCCCCGGCGTGGGCTGCGGGACCATCACCCTCAAGATGCTGTACAAGTCCTTCGAGTCGCTGCAGTCGGAGGACTCCTCCAGCGGGGCCGTGATCGTCACGGTGCTCCGGTGCAGGGACCTGGTGGCCAAAGACAGGGGCGGGACCTCGGACCCATACGTGAAGGTGCTTGGCTCGCCAGCCGTTGGGGTGGATGCAGCTGCTGGGTGGTTGGTCGGACTGCGCCAATGTTTTGGATTGCAGCAACGTTTTGCAAGAATGATTGAGTTCTGAATTTGTGGGCGGTTTGGCTCCGTCTGGAAAAGAATCATCGACACTGCCAGTCGAGGGCAAAACGGGAAGAGGACGGCAGACGGTTGCTCTCCAGTTCTGTTACATTGATGTGCTCCTTGAAACTCGAAAGCAAACCGCCCAAAGTTGTGGATTTCGGTCAAAGCAATATACTTCGAAGTAGTAGTTAATGAAGCAATGGAATAGTAAAATAGTGAAAGATTAAAACAGTTCCATTATTTCCTTGATGTACGGATGTGTCTTGGTTGATTGCAGGTGAAAATTGGACGGAAGGAGTTCAAGACGGTGGTGGTGCCCACCAGCTTGAGCCCTGTCTACAACGAGAAGTTCGAATTCTTCGACCCTCGGCCGGGCCACTGCGTGACGACCGACGACGAACTGAAGGTGAAGGTCTACGACAAGGACACCTTGAGCGACGACTTCATGGGCCGGCAGGACATACCCATCTCCGACATCGTCGACACGTGCAGGAGCAACGGCGTCTGCAGGAAGTGGTACCCCCTGGAAGACACCAAGAGCGGAGAGGTCGAACTGAAGATCGAGTTCATTCCGTTCACGTGAAGGTCGGCCTGTTGGGGCGGCAAATGGCTGATTGCCCCTGGTCGCAGGCAGCGTATGGTGGACTTTTGGCTGAGGTTGAAACCGGGGAAGGCATCTGTTAAGGGCGGTCGCCAATGCGAGGGATCCGTCGAGCTCTCCGTGATCGTCTTCAGTGGCGGCGTTCTGGCTGCGGTCTGCGTCCTTTAAGAATGCCTGTCCCGTTTGCTGTCCGTCGCCGCAGTCCGCCGAGGCGAGTGTGGCCGCCAGGGAACAGCAAATAACTGGCGAACCGTTGCGGGTGTGTTTTCGCCGGCGCCTTTGCCCTGGGGGAAGGCCGACGGCCGTGCGTGGGCGTTGGGACGGCTTTGCACGATGGCGAGCCGTCCGGCGCTGCACGTTCGCAGTGGAACAATGGCCCGCCTGTTGAAATGATTACTAAGTAGCCTCGTGCTCAACGCGGTTGCCCTGTCGCTCCGGGTCATTCACTCCATACCGATTATGGGCTGGGTCCGGCGCTTGCTGGCAAGAACGATCTGCTGCAGGTGGTGCGGCCTGGATCCGCGGTTTGGGGGCGAAGCTGCTGCTGACGGGGTGCGGCATTTGGGGTTTGTCGCGATGAAACTTGCTTTTATATTCTGGCTTGTTTCTTCCACAATGAAGTTGAGGATTTGCGATGTGGAGACGGCGGTTGGGATGGGGTTGAGGTCGGCCAGGGGTGAGGAATTGGCGGGGCAAGGTTCTCAAGGCACTCCAAGTTATCAAGATGTCATTGGAACAAAGAATTTCATTGATCTGCCGCAGGGCAGCGTGATCTAGCGGCCCATATACCATGCACAGTGCACTTTGTGGATCGATTTCAATTCTTGCGCCAATTTGGCGCCACAGTTGCGATCAGTGGGAGCAACTCTGCCGGAGCGGGTAGGGATGCTTCCCGTCGCATGTTGTGCAGTTGATGTTGAGTCCTTCCTGACTACATTTCGTTCACAGGGCAAAGCGGGCCCCTCGGGCCCAGAAGACGGTGAGCAGCTGCTACACACACAGGATGTTTGCACGGTGTTCCCCATCTGTTTCCACTCCCGCGTTCCACCCATCTGCACAAGGGGAGGACAGCAGCCCCTCCTGCAGATCCATTTGCGTGTGTTTCTGCGAGCGTTTCACTGCGTTGAACCGGGTGCAGGGTATGCAAACGGATGAACTGTGAGGCCGCCGCTGGTGACGCCACTGTGACCAACCCAAGACAGCAGACACACAACCTTTGCATGGTCGTAGAACATCTATCGCTCGTCCATCGCCGCAGAATGACAGAGGTGACTGTCGACTTGGCTGCAGTGCAATCTCTAGAGCGAAGCGCATCCGCAGCCTTTCCCAATTCGCAAATGATCTGCACCATCACGGCGCCAGGCACTGCCCAGCCCTGGTGACAGAGGATGCCCAACAAACTGACCATCTCCGCCAGGGCGCCGAGGGGCAACTGCTGGCCGGTCTCCATGTGCGCCAAACATCGTCAGCAGCCCCACTGCTGTCCGTTGCCCATCCCCGGCCGGGCTTCCCAAAAACTCACCTCCTCGCTGCAATCCTTCCCTCAAATTGTCCAAGGCACAATTCTACCAGCCGACTCCCAGCACTGGGACTCTTATTGACCGAATCCGAGTCTGGGCACAGATTTCCATGGCAGACCAGTGCCCCACAGTATCTAGTTTCGAGTAACGCTCAAACCGACCGCAACCAAGGGACTGGGCACCAATAGAACCAGCGCAGGCCAGTACACATACCTTTGAAGAAGGAAAATGCAATCGGGCCGATTGAAACACCCACCAACAAATATCCCCGCACCTTGCCGCGTCTTGCTATGACCGAAGGAGGGCCGCTCAGGTCGTGCGCACTCCCAAGCCTATCATCGGCGCTAAGCTTACCAAAATCGACATAGTGTCTTCGCTCACCTAAACTAATGCAGTCGGTGCCTCTTCATCTCGCCAACAGAATCCATATTCACGCAAATGTGATATGTGCGCCCGTGCTCAACGCATGCCCTCAAGTACACCGATGCCCCTGAATCCCGATGTATAGACAATCAGTAGTAGTGCTAGGGTGACAGCTTGTAAACGACTGCAACACATTTTTCAGCCGTTCAGTAAGAACAGAATTGGTCAATGAACGAACAACCATTGTCTTGGGCAAGGTGACTCTACGTAGAGGAGTAGCCGCCATGGGCCACCCTCCCCCATCCACAGAGTACATGGACAAATCCCCAGGTTCTCCTTTCTTCAGGAGATGTACCCATGCGCCTTCCTGGCACATTACCTTCCACAAAGTTCGAGCTCGAATGCCCCCCAACCACTTCCCCTTTTGCATGAGGACCAAAGGCATTTTCCTTGTCTTGACACAAAGTAGCCATGCCGCCCATTTGGGGCTCAACCGAGACAGTAACCCATATGAACCTATGTGAAGCATCCACTGTTCCACACGGGTCGATAGCTGTCAGTCCCTCTCAGGGTTTCCTGACATTACTGCCGCACATAACACAAGAGAGTATGTCCGAGCTTGTGTTTAGCTCTCTAGCTTCAATGCCAGCAAATGTACTCTAATGAGAGTATTTGACGTGCATGTCCAGTGGATGCACCAGTTTTCACATGCACTCCGACCTAGAGAGGTAACCAAATAATTGACGTCAGCCCAAATACGAGAAAGTGCAATTCAAGTTCCTACCCAGCAGTAACCTTATGCATCACATGGCACCCTGTTCATCCCATGCACTTCCAGGCCTTCTCGCATCTGGTCAGGCACTCCAGGCTATCCTCAGAGGCAGCACATCATCAATGGCCAAACGAGCCTAGGCCACACTGCCTGCACACTTAAGTTCCAGGGCCTCCCAGAACACATTGGCCTGATCAGCCTGGGGATCTATCCTGTGGTATGATAGCT